GCACCAGATGAAAAGAAGCTATGTGGTCACAAGAGATAAGGATCAGCCATCACCTCTGGTGAGCTCTGTTTTCAGTCACAGGAAAAAGAAAACCTACACTGCAGTCTCATCTTTTGGGATCCAAAGGATGAACTCCAAAGTTTCTTTGGAGAGGGCCCAAACTCTGACTAGCTACTGAATTCCCTCAGTTTACCAGTGTGCTGAGCATTCCCAGCTGTGGCCCCACGTCACAACAACAGCACTTCGAATTTCAGCCTGATACAATAATGAGAGCTCTGAAAAATAAATGAGTATCTCTAGATTGGCAGCCCAAGTTAGCAGACACATTAGGTCTCGATCTCACTCTGCTTGATGATGCGAATGTTGGTCAAGTGCTCATTAACGGAGTTCCAGTTCTCTGGCAGTCTAATTGGACACGGGACAAAAGAGAGAGATGGGCATATACAAAGGGGACTGATAAAGACAGGCAGTCTTCAGAAAGCTCTTTGGATTTTCTTTTATTTTGGAAGGCTGTTTCCTAAGTTATTTTGGAGGCAGGAAAAAAAGCAAAAAAGGTACTCAGCACCTGGAATTATCCTAGAGACAATAAGTCTATAGGATATATAAGTCAACCAGTTCTATCACGTGAGCTGACACCGCACTAACTTACACTGAGAACGGTCATTGAGCTGAACAGCTGATCTCTCCAGTGAGAGATGTGGTGCTTGGTTACCATTAAAGGGGTCTGACAAAGGGGAGGATTTGGCTCCCTTATGAGGAAGGGAGGCAAAATACATTTGAGTGATTTCCAGCTCTTCTTACCCAATCTGTTTTGCCCCTCCAGGCTGGGACCACAGCCAAACCCAGGGAGAGGATGCAGGGCATGGCAAGTTATAGTCTGGTGAAGGTCACTCCAGGGGTAGGGTGTCACTTAAAGCTGAGGGTAGTTGGGAGAGGTCACAGCAAAACCTTCCCTGGGCAGCTCTCATCCCCCTGCAAGCTATATGCAAGTGACAGAGATGGCACCTCACCTCTACCCTAGCAGAGCCAGACACTGTTGAGCAGGACCACACAGATCATCCACCTGGGATCCCCCTGGCTAGCAGTGGGCAGCCTTCAGGCGCAGCACAAGAAGTCACTGTTCTCCATGAATCACCCGCACTGTGAAATGCAAAGGCAGGATCATATCACTCCCTGCTCCAATTCACCTCTTGCCCTACGCCACAGCCCCACCAGCCACCTCCACCCTCGACCCTGGTTCTGAGACACCAGTGAGACAGCAGCAAACAGCTCAAAGACACTGTTCACAAGACATTAGCGACTCGTCTTGTCTACCCAGCAGCACCCCCTTGAGTGAGGAAAGGTCTTGCCCCGTCCTCATCTTTGAGGGCTCAAGGATACCTAGGGCAGTTTCATCTTGATGGGACCACACGCAAAAAAAGAAGGCCATTTCCAGCCTACGCTCACACTTTATTATATACAGAGACACGGTGAGTGTAAGAACATCAACATGGGACACAGACAGTATGGGAGGCCCAAAGGCACTGCCTCCTGTCCCCTTGGTGCAACCAATCAGCATACTTTATACAAATAATACAGTATTTGAACAATAAATAAGTTTGAATAAATTAAATCAAGAAATTAAAAAAACGTAGAAAGACAAAGCAGCAAGGAATGATTTTGAGGACTGTGACACATTCACAGCAGTGACAACACCATCACCATCTCACCTGCACACCAGCAGCTGGAGCACGGACCCCCATCAGCCCTTTTCTCTCACTGTACTATGAAAAAATCCAACTGAGGAGGGGGAACCAGGGAGTCATACAGTTCACTAGTACTGTGCTGTCATGATCTAGGAGCCCTCTCTCCTTCACAAGCCCCTTCAGAAAGGGTACTTGAAAACAAGGTACAACTGCAGACCCACTGTGCACAGTCACAGCTTGTCTGTTTGGCACAAAAACCCCTCAAACCAGTCTCTTCTGTCCTTCAGATAGACACTGGCACAGTTATTAACCGAGTCACGTCAGGGCAGTAGTGGGGGAAACATCTCTAAGGAATGGGGGGAGAAAAGAGATGAGGCAATCTCTCTTTCACTTGTGGGAGGCAGAGGTGCTCTTGTTCATCACTCCAAAGCTCTGGCACACTCCTTCCACATGCCCTAGCACTGATGGAGACCAGGTGGGTGATAACCCCCCCCCGCAAGGTTACCAAAAGGACTGCAGGGATGCAGCTCAGAAGTCAAGAGTTATGAGCCAAAGGACAGCAGTGAAAGGCCACCACTGGTTATCCAAGGGAAAAATAATACTAAGACAGCCAGTCCCTAACTCCTGCAGGGGGAGAGGCCACACAGACACACTGATTTGACCCCCCTGTCAGCCTCAAGACCTCCAGCTCTCTCTCAGTGATGCTGGTAGCTGGCAATGAAGGAGAGAAGGACTCTGTCCATCATGGATAGCTCTCAGCAGAAAGGAGACAACTCAAAGCCTGTCTCTTCCTGCCAACTCTGCTCCCATCTGCCCCCGAAGAAGGATGCTGGAATGTGAAGAAACCCAGAATTGAGGGAATAGGGCAGTGAGAGAGAAACAGGAACAGATGGAGATCTGGGATGGGGAACCTGATCCCTCTGCCCACACACATACAGACTGCTACTCATCCAGGCCTGGTATCAAGTCTGCAATACTGTCCACATAGTAATTGGGCACCAGATCCTTAGCAGCAGCGCTGTCGCTGGCCATGTAGGCCTGCGCCTCTTCCAGGCGGGAAACACCTGTCAGGGTGAGAATCGTGGCAAGCCCGCAGTTCTTGCCGAAGAGGATATCTGTCTCCAGACGGTCTCCCACCATGAGGGTGCGGGACGGGTCGACGCCGAAACGCTCCACAATGCAATCGAACATGTACGTGTTGGGCTTCCCCACCACCAGCGCCTTGCGGCCCGAAGCAGTTTCCACCGCGGCTGTGAGGCTGCCAGTCCCTGCGGGGGGGGAAGGAGGAGAAAAAGAAGTAGCCGCGGGCAGCTCAGCACGCTGGGTCCCGCCCGAGGACAGGCAAGCGAGGCGCTGGCAGCACGACTCCGAGAGCCGGCAGGGACGCGCCAGGACAGCCCTGCCCGTCCTGGCGCTCAGGGACCTGCCTCGCCCGGGGCCTGGGACAGCGAACCCCACCCCAGGAGACCCCCGCCACCAGCCCCTTCCCCCCGGGGGCGGCGCGGGACGGGGCGCGGGCTCACCGGGGGTGCGCTGGCCGTCGCTGAGCGGGTGCCAGGGGTCGGGGTCGGTGGCCACCAGCAGGCACTGCGGGTCGCGCAGGTAGCTGCAGGCCTGTGCCAGCTTGGCGAAGGTGAACTGGTCGTCGTAGCCCACCAGGACGGCGCGCACCGGCTCGCCGGGCGCCGGCTCGCCCTCGCCCGCCAGGCGCAGCCCCGCGTCGCGCACCTCGCCGCGCAGCCCCTCGCCGCCCAGCACGAAGACGCGCCCGGCCCCGCTGCCGTTCCCGCCGCCGCCCAGGAGGCGCTGGCGGAGGAAGAGCGCGGAGCACAGCGCGGAGCTGAAGACGTGCTCGGCGCGCACGCCGCGGAAGCCGAGGCGGCTGAAGCGCCGCTCCAGCTCGGCCACCGAGCGGCGGCTGTTGTTGCTGACGAACAGGGCGGCCTTGCCGCTGCGCCGCAGGCGCTCCAGCAGCTCGGGGGCGCCCGGCACGGCGCGCTCGCCCGCCCACAGGACGCCGTCGCAGTCGAAGAGCAGCCCCTGGGCCGGGCCCAGCACCTCGCGCAGCCCCGCGCCGCTCAGCCGCCGGCAGCTCGCCATGCTGCCGCCGCCGCCGCCTCCGCCCGCCCCGCCGCGCCGCCGCCCTCCGCCCGCCCCGCCGCGCCGCCAATCACCGCCCACCGCCCGCGCGCTGTCGCCAATGGGAGACCCTGACGGCCTCCAGAGGGCGGGGCGGGGCCGAGGGCCGGCGCCCACAGTGACGATACGAGGAGAAGGCGGGGCCGGGGCCGGGCGCGCTGCCTATTGGCTGGAGGCGCCTCCCCGGCCACTGCCCCCCGCGGGGGCGCGCGGCGGCACAGCGCCCCCTGCTGGCCGGCGGGGCGTGAGGGCGGTGCGATCGCCATTACGGCCCGGCCGCTCGTCTCCGCTGGCTGTGGGCAGCGGCCGACCCCCCGCTCTCCCGGCCCGGGGCTCGGCCGTGTCCCCCTTACCTTCTTCCCGCTGCGGCCGCGAGGGCTGCGGCCTCCAGCAGCTGCTCACACCTGCCTGTGAATTTGACACCAGCTCCTCAAATAGTGGCAAACCAACACAGAATCAGTTAAGTTGGAAAAGACATCCGAGATGGTCGAGTCCAACCGATGTCCGAACACCACCACGTCAACTAGACCACAGCACTGAGTGCTACACTGAGTCTTTCCCTAAACACCTCTAGGGACGGTGGCTCCACCACCTCCCTGGGCAGCCCGTTGCAATGTCTGATCACCCTTTCAGGGAAGAAATTCCTCATGTCCTCTTGCCTTGTCTCTGGTTGCCTGGGAGAAGAGGCCAACACCCACCTGTTTACAATCTCCTATCAGGCAGTTGTAGACAGCAGTAAGGCTACCGTGAGCCTGCTCCGGGCTAAACACCCCTAGCTCGCTCAGCTGCTCCTCACAGGACACGCACTCCATATATATATATATATATATATATATATACACATATCTATTTGTATTTATATATATTCGTCTGTATGTTCTTGGGTGGGGCAACACGTTTTAAGGCAAAATGGGGCTGGGGTCATGGTTGAGCATCCACAAATGACCCCGCCAGGCCAAGCTGCCCACGCTGGCCCAAAAGCTGCAGGCAGTGCCTGGGCCCGCGATGGAGGAGCTGGGCAGGGAGCTGGGCCCTGGCAGGGACAGGGTGGTGGGGGAAGGTGAAGGCGGGAGAGCAAGGGGAGGCAGGTGGAGCGTGCCAGGTGGTGTAAGCTGAGGGACAAAGGTGGAGGTGCAGGAGTCCCTCAGGCCACCACCCTGGTGTTTCCACAGCACCTGCTGGGTTCCCGGATGGACGCCAGACCTCGTCTCCCCAGCCTGTGATTCCCCCACGCCCTGCTCAGTTCTCTGTGGGCTGTCCTGCTGGGGCCAATATGGCCAAGGGGCTGCTTTCTCCTGCAGGCAGAGGCTGCCCTTCATCTATGGTTCCTTGGACACAGTCCATGGCAGCCTTTGTGTCAGCCTCACCAGTGGAAGGCTTGGGGGACAGCGGGACATCTCGGCTGTGACGGGGTGCCGGCTGTGGTGGGAGCGGTGGTGGGACAGAGGGGGCTCGGCTGGGTGCCATCCGTCGTGGCAGGGCTTTGGGGCTGGCTGCCGGGGCAGGAGCTGTACTCCGGGACTGGGTCACAGGCGGTGGCAGCATCGTGGGTCGGGCTGGAGCCGGGCGCTTGCCTGAAAAGAAAGCTGGGCTGGGCTGGGGTACCCTCCTCTGGTGTGTCTCCGCAGGGCAGAGGGGGCTGTGGTGCCCGCCATGGGTCAGGCAGGGGGGCTGCAGGCAGACAGATGGACAAACTGGCCCTTGCCCAGCTCCCGTACTGGAGACCCAAGTGCACAACAGCTTTTGGGGGTTTTTCCTCTTCCCCTCACAAAGGGCCAGGAGTTTTTACACCTCCTTACAGGGGATGTTCAACCCAACGCTGGAGGACATACTGTGTCCATCCCCTGGTCCCACCTCAGCTGGATCTTGGCCATGCTACCCTGGCCAGAGGCTTTACCTCTCATTTGGTGACAGGGACATTCTCAGTGGCCTTTTTTGCAGGGAACAGCAGGATGAAGGCTAAACTACAGGAGGTGGCATTCAGGGGTGTCATTTCCCAAGCACTGTGCCATCTGGGGCACCCTTACCTTTGCGGCTGGTATCTTCAGTCATTGTTGGAGCTGCTGGCCCTGCAACTTCAGGAGATGGTTTGGTCAGTGCTGGGGATGCCAGCTGGGACTTGGCCTCGGTGTCCCTCGATGTCCTGCGCAGAGAACAAGGCAAGTCAGGCTTTGGTTGGGCATGGCGGTCCTGGCCTCGAGGCCAGGCATCCACCTGCGAGGCTATGGCCCCTGGCCATCCCATGGTGGGATGGGAGGAGAACATAGGGAGAGGTGGGACAGCCAGAGCCCCTAGTTCCCAGCAGACTTACGTCTCTCCATCTGGAAGGGTGGGAGTGCTGGCTGGAGGGAGCTCAGGGGTCAGCTCCTCCACTGGGGCAGCCTTGCTAAGTCCACTATTTGCAGGCAGTGTGAACAATCCTGAGACATTAAACTCTACCTCTAGGTGGAGAGAAGGGAGGAGACCCTGTGAGGAAGAATTTGTGGCCCAGAGCAATGACCCCATGGCAGGGAGCCAGAGCAGGCCCCTAAATCCCTCCTCCTGGGGATGGAGAAATGTCCCTTTCTCTTCCTCTACCCTTCACCATGTGCTGTGGCCCACCAAGTGGTGCCTTAGCCCTACCTCCGGGGAAGAGGGTGTCCACGTTCTGGATGAGGGCTTCCACCACACCCTGGATGGAGGAGACTGAGGCCAAGTCCAGTTGCATGGGGCCTCTGAGAGACAGGAATGGGGTAGGCATCAGAAAAGGGGTTTGGGGGGCAATAACCCCAAATGGGTTTTGGTGTTCATTTCTGAGGGGCCAGAGCCTGAAGGGAAGCCAGCCCAGCCGAGGGGAATGGCAGGGTGGGAGATGGGCCTTGTTCCCTGTCCTGAGAACCCTGGTTTGGTGTTGGAGGCCAATGGTGTTGAAAGCCATCCATGTCACAAGTGCTTCAGGTCTCAGCCCTTTCCTCTGCTGCTTTGCAGAGTGGCTAAGAGGACACAAGGGACATGCAACTTGGGAACAAACACAGGACTTGAGAATGGAAGAGGTGCAGGTGCTTCAAACCGGCCTGAAGGCTGCTGGATCAGCCTTTCCCATGGCATTTGTATTCAAGGCACCCGAGCTGGGGCTGGGAAACTGCATCCCATCCCTCCAAGCTGGACCTTACCCTGTGCTCTGCTGCGACCACAGCAGGTTTGGGCCCAGCACAATGGCGATGTTGCTGGGGGTCATTTTATTCACCTCCTGGTGTTCAGCCAGCTTGGCTAAAAACTTGATCAGATACCTGCGGGGTGAAAGGAGGGTGAAGGTATAGTAGGCATGGATTTGGGGAAGAAACGGCCACTACCAGTGATTGCTTGCCCTGCTCCTTGCAGGGCTAAGGAAGCCCTGCTTCAGCAAAACACCTCAGATTGTTGTAGCTCTCTTGGGGCAGGCGGCTGCAGGTGTCTCGCAGGCTCTGTACACGGCTGTCAACGTCCTTTAAGCTGCAAGAGAGAAGGAGGAGGAATGGAGAGCTCAGCCTGCTCCCTATGGCAGAGAGGGACACGGTGGGCAAGGAGGAAGGCCAGTGCTGGCCACCTCATGTAGGCCATAGCCCTGGGGATGGAGAAGTCCTGCTTTTATTGAGCAGCTAAGGTAGGCATCCATGGAGGAGCTGCGTTTTTATACCCCTGACATGGCAAATGAGGCTGAGCATCCCTGCTTCAAGTGCTGGAAAGGATGGAGGGGGTTGATTGGGGCCTTTTTGAGACCAGCCAGGCATTTCCACCCCAATGTCTGGACTCACCTGGCCACTTTGACCCATTCGTCATAGAGCTCAAAGGTCATCAAAGGCTGGGGCAGCTCCCGCAGGTAGGATTTCAGTGCGCCTGGGAGGGGAGCAGCGGGGGCTGATGGCAGCTGGGGGATGGCAAGGACTGCCCAGTGATGTTCCCCCACCCCGCCTCACTGGCACCCACCAGCCACAGCATGGGGGTCTGAGTAAAACTCCTCCAGGGCATTGGAGCCACTGGCCAAGCTGCTCTTCAGCTTCCTCAGCACTGACGCACCCGCTGCCAGCCGGAAGAGACCCTGGGATGAGGCAAAGAGGGAAGGGATGCACTTCGAGTTTGAGAGGGGTGCCTTTTGGGGGGGATAGTGGTGAGGGGGTCTGGAGCACTCCCTACCTCTTCCCTCATGCCAGAGGCCAGCAGCATCATGACACAGGCTTCAATGGGCAGTGCGATCTCCCGGCCCAAGCTCTTGAGGTGGGTCTCTAGGGACACACCATAGTACCCTGCCACTGGGGTGTCTGCATTGAAGGAGGGCTCTGGAAGAGGGAGGAGAATGTCAAGAGGGATGGTGGCCACTGGGGCCATCCAGCATCTGGCCATGGCAACATCTCACTCCAATCCAAACTTAGCTGGCTGGGGGCAGAGACAGGTTAGGCAGCATCCCCAGCTCACCTCAGGCTGCGGTCCCCAACCCACCAGCCAAACACGGGAGAGAGCAGCAGATGTTAGGGAGGGAAAATGGGCCTTTTCCAGTCTTGCTGGCCACACTTATATCCCCCAGGCTCGGCTGCAGCCCTCTCTGGGCTGTGTGGAGAGCCAGCAGGTACCTGACTGTCTGTGGCTTTCCCTTAGCTCTGCCAGAGCTGTGTCCAGAGATTCCAGTGACTGCCGGTGGTACTGGGCCTGGATTTCCAGCAGCTGCCAGACAGGGTATAGACAGACAGCACTCAGTTTGGCACCAGCCCCTCTCAGAGAGACACCCATTACCAGGACATTGTACCCTCATGCAAGCAGGGCAAAGAGGGAGCTGCAAAGGGAACCCACCTGAGGTCCATGGAACTATATCTGTAGTGAGGGATAGAGGGTAAATTGGAGAGGGGGGTCACTGGGACAAGCCACTCTTTGCAGTTAGTGCTAGTGGCGGCATTAACCTGCAGTGCCTGGAGCAAGGCCAGCTATAGGCATCTGCTGATGCCTGTCTGTTCCTTGTCCTGGGTGGGGGACTTGGTGCGGATGGGGACAAGGCTGGGCTCAGACATACCCCAGGAGATGTTCACACACAAAGGAGAAGTGTGAGAAAGGACTTACTTTGATGAAGTAGCTGGCGTAGCTGTCCTCCTTGGTGGAGAAGTGGTAGAGGTCAGCCATGTACTCATCCTGGGAAGGGAGACACAGAGAAGAGCAATCTTCCATCCCCTCTGGCACCCGAGGAAGAGGAGACCGCTTCATGAAGTCTTTCATCTCATCTGTGAGTTGTCTAGACAGGGTCCCTGAATGTGGTGGGGATTCCTCCTTGCCTCCACTGCTTTCATTTGGGTAGTGGCAGCAACCTGCCCTATGATCAAGGTCCTGGCACAAGTGGCTCAGGGATAAGAGGTCCCTGCACCTTCAGCTCCAGTGAGCTCATGCTTCTGCCAGACAAGGTGCTGGGCGTTTCAGAGAAACAGGGCAGAAGAGGAGTAAGTTGCTGTGAAACTTTCCTGCCACCCAGAGCAGATTCTAGCTCAGCTGGTTCCCAGCCCAAGGAGCTCCCCACTATAGCCCCTGGAGCCTCCTCTAAAGCAGAATCCTTTACTCTTTGAATCCTTTACACTTTTTATTCCCTGGGCTCGGGGCATCTCTCTGTTTCTGCTTGAGGAGCCTGTTTGCTTGCAGAGGGCAGGACACGTTGGCTGGCTGCAACCCATCTCACCATGGGGTCACCTCGGACAAGACTGGTGGAGGGAAGCAGGTCTGCAGCCCTGGAGCTGCCCCGTGGAGGAGAGCAGTGACGTTCTCACCTTGCATTGTTCCACCTTCCTCTTTACCTCCTCCTCCTCTTCCTTCAAGATCTCCAGTTTGTTGGCAGCAGAAGATGCCCCTGGACCAGCACCAGCTCCAGTGCTGTTACTGGAGCTCTTGGCAGCTTGGTTCAGCCTTTGGGGTGGGAGAGAAGAGGCACATTCATGGCCTCAGTGCCAGGGACATGGGGTGGGACAGCTGTGCAGACTCTAGAGAAATCTGGCATGGCACAGGCTGCCACTGGCAAGAGTTGGAATCGGACAATCTCAGTGGCACCAAGCAGCACTGGGGCACTCTGCTGCCTTTGGCAGTGGCACTGCCCTTCTCTCTCGGGCCGTGGAACCAGCTCAACCCAGAGCAAGGATGCACCTGCAGAGAGGGTCTGACTGGGTGCTCCCAAAAAGCTGTTGGAAATTCACTCCCCAGGGCAGTCATCTTCCTCTCTCCCCCAACCTGTCAGGGGGCTGTGCTCTGTATGCCCTGGCCACCCAAGCTGCAGTGGGCCCCATACCTGCTTTTGATTGTGTTCCAGTCAGAAATCAACTTCTGGAGAGTCTTCTTGTGCTTCAGAATGATGGGAAGTTCCTCCTGGGGAATAGAGTGTCCAGAGTGAATGGAAGAGGCTTGGGAACACAGGAAGGAGTGGTGGGATGGGAGTTAGAAGGGCAGCCAGAACTACCTCACTGAGCTTGTTGAGTGGCTGCAGGACGTTGTGCTCCAGTGCAATCTCAAACTCAGCCAGGATTTTTGCCAGCGAGCTCTGTATACAGCAGCCCATCTCCAGAGCTTTCCTGTGTGAGGACAGAGGTGAAATTACTGTGGGCTGGAGCCATGCCCCTCTCTGACCCAACACCCTGATGTAGCCGCACCCATGTGGGACCTTGAGCCAGCCCCTGGCCCTACTCTGCAATGGGAGGCTGAAGGTGCTGGCTGTCCCCTCTCCCACTCCAATGCCAGCGTTTGCTCTTGGGACAGGGTTTGAGCCATGGGTGCCCCTGACCCAAGACGGTGTCACTACCGGAGTCTGGCATCTTTTGGGGTCACCCTGGCACTTTTTCCCCACCAGTACTTACCCTAGGCTGGACTCTGTGTCCAGTTCCTTGAAGCTCTCAGCCATCGCGGTGGACAGAGCCATCAAGGGTAGCTTCTTCTGCACAGAGCCAAGGATTCAGGAGAGAAGTGGTGATACCAACTGTGCCTGGCCACACTGTGGTGCTGCTCACCACAGGGCATCAGTGGGTGCCAGAGATTCACAGGGGTTTGGGAAGGGGGATAGACAACCAGGGCTTTGGAGGGTTATTCAATACAAAGACACTGTCTCTCTTCAGGAGTGTCCCAAGTTAGTGATGGTTGAAAGCGTTGCCCTGCACTGCTCACCCCAGGCTGCTGGTGGTCACTGCTAGCAATGGGACCTAGGCAGGGCACAGCTTTGGGCCATCCTTCAACAAATCTGGCAAAGCTGGGGCCTGGCATCCCATTTGCTGGTGAGGGACAGAGCTGGGGTGAGCACAGGCTGCAGTGGGAGGACTTTACTCACCACTCTCTTGTCCATCTCAGAGCCACATTGCCCCTGCAGGCAGGCTTGGAGTCTCTTGGACACACTGTGAGCTGCTCGCTTGGCTGGCTCGATCCTCTGCTCAATCTGGGGCAGAAAGGTGGGACTGGAGAAGCCCTTTCATCAACCATGGGCACTTCAAGGCCATTTCCCCACTACCTAGCTCTGGGTGCAGGTGGCCTGCCTGTTACAGCCCAAAGCATCCCCGGTCCAGGGAAAAGGGAACATAATTCCTGGCCAGGATTCATCCCTCTGTGGGCAACCTGAGAAGCCCTTTCCAGTGGCAGAAGCCTGCCATTCCCTTAACGCCATGGTCCTGAAATCACCCTGCGGCACACAGGCGGATCCCAACCCCATGACTTGGATGTGCTGGCAGGGTGAATGGCAGGCGGGAGTGGGACAGGTTCCCACGCCCAGACACAAGCAGACACACGCCTGCCAGCCCTGCCTATGCCTTACCTGCAGCAAATCTTCTGACAGGAGCTCAGTTGCTTCTTGAGCTCTGCAGACGAAGGAGAAAGAACCATCAGCAAATGGGGATGACCTCCACCAGCCTCCTTGGAAAGGCAGGTCCTTATGCATCCTACCTGCCTCTCTTTGGGCTCCTGGGAGCAGGAGACTTTGGCTATAGCCTGGACCACGAGACACAATGCTATGGGTAAAACAAGCCTGCAGGGACAAGAGCAGCAGAAGCAGGGCAAAGGCAGCCAACCTTGCTGACTGGTGGACAACCCCATCAGACAGTTTCCAGTTCAGAGCACCTCAGTAAAAATGCCCAGATGTGGCCTGGGTTTTGGAGATGGGGGCCACAACAGGAGTTGATCCTGACTGCTCACCTCTCCCCTGAAGGTGAATCTACACATCTTTGCAGGCCAGTGCAGCCACTGGCTATGAGACCACTTGTGCCAGAGCAAGGATATCCTTGTGGTCAAGCTGGGGTCTGAGACCAACACTAGCCCCTCCAGAAACACCCCCACAAAACCAGCTTTTGCTTGATTTTGCAGCAGGTGTTCACAGCGAATCTGACAAAGGAAACTTATGGTTTGCATAAAATTCTCAAAAGCAAATTCAAAACCCACCAGCCACCGTGACCCCCACACCTCCCTGATGCCTCTCATACAGGAAGACTTGCTTCAACAGCCTGCTGTCATTGCTATGCCCTGGGAACCCTGTTTGCTTTCCCTCTGCTGCTGCTTTTTCTCCAGTTCATGTTTCTCTTTTCACTGCCCGCCAAAGCCAATATGGGACAAGGCTGTGGAGCTGCAGGAAATGTGGGTGGTTTGGTTGAAGGCAAGCAAGATCACATGAGGTCGTGGCCCACGGAGGAGAGGCTCTGCAGAGGGTAAAGAACTCTCCTGGACTCCACGAGCTGCCTGTCTCGCATTAAGCAAAAGGGAGGTGCGTCTAACATGGAGATGAGAAATCTTGAGGGAGGAGGGATTGGAAAGGGGGTTATGCTCCCCTCTGGGGAATGCAAGAAGATCAAGAGGCCACCAGGATATAGGAGCTGCTTCTCTGTGGCCGATCTGCTGGGCTGGCTGAATGACCTCTGTGGTCCAGAGGACATGATTGGTCCTGCTCAGCCACCCAGCACTGGGGAACCTGTGGAGGTGGCAGTAAGAAAGAGGGAGTGGGGGGCCAGGAAGGGAGGGCCCAGCCCTGTAATTTCAGTTCTTGGTTTTGCAAGGGGAAAGCTTTGGAAAGGCAAAGAAAAATAAGGAAGCGGGAGATGTAGGATGGGGACAGATGGATTTGTGTTAAACTGTAAGTCCTCCATAGGTCCTCTGAGGATCCCCACTCCTCTCCTCAAAGGGCATTTCGGGATGCCCATACTGCTGGGCTGCCTAGAGTCATGAGACACCCCAGACTCAGGGGGGAGGGAAAGCCCCAGCTCCTAACACCCTTCTGGTCACCACACAGCCGAGGACATGTGGCTGGAAGGTCCCTCCCCATTGCCCCATATCCTGAGGAAACCAAGATTGGGAAAGCCCTGTTTGCAGGTGGATGCAGCACCTGTGGGTCCTGGGAGAGGTAGTTGGGCTTCGGGATCAAATCACTGCTGTGCAACACCAGCACAGTCTTCCTTCCCACTGCCCCTCAGGTGCCAGGAGGCCACAGCCTCTCGGCTTATGCTGAAGATGCTCTAAAGTCAGGGTTATTTCCCCCTTTTCCCGGGGCCACTGTCACTAGGAAGTCAGTACAGCCCCGGCGCAAACCCTCCAGAACCCATGTCCCTCTCCCTCTCAGCCCTCTGGTACAGGCAGTGCAGAAATCCTTACCGGGTGGCGATGTTGGGATGGGAGAGCTGCTGCCGCATTCGATTAAACTGTCTTTTCATCATCTTGAGAGCTGAGAGGAGACCAGGAGAGCCACTCCTGCTTGACTGTACCTGCTCAGCACCCCTCAGTAATGCTTGGCATTGGATGCCGGCAGCCCCTCGGCTCCCAGGAGCTGCTTTGCTCTTTGCTTTTTCCTGAGGACCTTTCCCTCCTTACTCCTCTTCTTCCTCGTTTCCTCGTTCCCCCTTTTTCAGTTTCCCCAGCTGGTCCCCTCCCTAGTCTCTCTCTGGGGATGCCCTGCCTGCTTTCTCTTCTCCTCCCTTGATCTCCCCTCTCTTGCTCCTTCTCTTTTTCTGAGCTTCCTTCTTCCTCCGTCCGCCTCTCTGCCGCAGATCAGGTAAGAGCAGTTCAGGGCTCCTGCTCCGTTCTGTGTTCCTGTCACCACCCCACAAGTAAAAATAACTTCAGCCAAGCCTTAAAGGGGAAATATTATTACAGCATACACAAAACAAGGCAGGACAAGCACATGCCACTGCCGAGCCCAAGCGAAGAGCCCACGCTCTCTTTCTTGCTCTCTGTCTCAGCTGGAGTGGTTCCCCCCCTTGCCTTGCCCACCACCAGCTGTGCTGCGGGGCAGCCCGTGCCGGTGCCAGCTGGCTGTGTGGTTCACTTGGGTGCCTGGTGTACTCCCTGCCCTACCTGGTCACCCACACTCCGCCAACACTCCTCAGGCACCTTTCCCTGCTCATGGGTGCTCCATCCTCTTCCCCTGTGACATATCCCCCCTGTCATTGCAAAAGCAGGAGAAGCAGCAAAGCCACCTGTGCAACCCCTCCTGCGCCCCTCACCCTGCTTTCCCTCCCTGCCTTCGCTGAGGCTTTCCGGAACCACTGCAAAGCTGTGGCAAACGGCAGTTGCCTTGTGTTTTGGGGAGGCCCCTTCCTCCCCGCTCCCCCTCCGCCAGCAGAGCTCCTCCGAGCAGGGCGGGTGGGCCCAGTGCAGAGCAGCAGCACTTGCACAGTTGCACGAGGACCACAACCTCCCTGTTCTCAGGCTCGGGTGTTTCCTGCTCTCTGCAGAGCTGCAACAAGGTTCACACTTTTTTTTTCCTTTTTCTAAAAGCATCCCCCTCACACCACCATGACCTTTGGCCCTGGCTCTATGAAATGTAAACCTCACTTGCACCTAGGACTTTCCTCCTCCTACTCTAAGAGAGAGGAGAGGTTGCTGTTGGCTGGGTTACATGGCTGGCAAAGGAAGTAGCAAACGAAGCCCAAATGAGAAGCGGTTTGCTTGTGGGCAGAACAGGCAAGCAGAAAAGGAAAAAGAGGCAGAAGGGCCACTCTGCCTGTGCCTCAAAGCCTAAGGAGCAGTAATTTGTGAGCTGCTGGGCTGTGCTTCTTGGTAAGAGTCAAGTCTCCAGTGAGTGTATGGCAAAGTGGCACTGGCAGCTGTTTTCAAGTAGGTATGGGGTGAGGGAGCACCACTCTCCCTGCCCAAAACACTAGGCTGCTCTAAACCTGTGGCAGAGCACATCTGATCCCCTGATCCACTTCCAGCACCTATCGCAAAGATGCAGCAAAGCCCTGCCCAGATTCTCCCTGGCTGCCTCAGTCGGTGGCCAGGCCCTTCCTCCCCTGCAGTGTCAAGAGACCCACTCCCAGCCTCAGGCTGCTGTTTGCCAGAGCAGATTCCCCTCTTTGCACCCCTGGAACTGCTTCCAAGAGGCAGCCTGGGGGAAGAGGAGGAAGTGCTGCTACCATCAGCAGTAAAGCTGCAAAAAGTCATGTGGGGCATGGGAGCGAGGTCAACCCCTGCTTCCCATGGGCTGTGGGGCACAGACCCTTGCCCACCGCCTCTCAGTGGGGAGGGAAGTAAGCAGCACCCAGTTTGCAGCCTAGAAGTGATTGTTCTCAAAAAAGGAATTGAGAACTGCTGGGGGAATTCCACCATCCCAGCTCCCCGCTCACAGGAGTGGGGAAATCACTGCGGCAAGGCTCTCCCTGGGTGACGGTGGGATGAACTACAGGATTGCAGGGGCAGAATCTGAGCTGGAAAGGACCCTGGGCAGGGTGCAATACAGTTCCTCAGAGGTTAGGGAAGGTGAGGTGTGAGAATGTATTCCCTGGGTCAAAAGGCAGAGGGACAGGATCAGGAAAGAACTCTTTATTTCCCATAAATACAGCTGATTCTTCGCGCCGGGCGTCTAATTTTAAATGTTTGTTTTCTTTCATTTACAGAATTCTGCACTGAAAATATATACAAGTCTATTCAAGAACCAAACAAGATCTGCAAGGAAAAAACCCATACAAAACCCTTAACAGACCAGAAAGGGAAGTAAGACACAGCAGAACCCCAGCACAAAGACTTTGCTTCCCCTTGTCCTCTACTGCCTGCTGTGCCCAGCTTTGAGACACATCACCTTTGCTGCCCCGAGCCAAGAGTGCAAGGCACTCCACTTGTCTCCACCTCACAGAAGCCTCCTTCTGGCTCTGACAAGCCAATACAGGGCACAGCTTGCCTCTGTTTTCTATGCTCAGGCCCTCTCAAAACCAGCTTAGAAATGGGAAGCAGCTCCCGTGGTCTCATGTCCCATGAGGAATCAGGATTGCTTGGGATGTGCCATTCCCCAGTCTCCTCCGTGCCTGCAAATCCCCGCTCTTGTGTCACAGTGATTAGGTGGCTGGAGTTAGCCCCCTCCCTGCCACAGGGAGCCAGGCCTGCCCTCAGCTGTGGGCAAAGGTGAGCAAGGCACAGCTGAACCCCCCCCCCCCCCGTACGCCCCTGTGAAGAGCTTAGTGGTGATGGGCTGGGCTCCCGTCTCTCCCTGGCTCCCAGCCCATCACCTACCCCACTGCGAAAAGACACTGAAGAGCTGAGAAAGCTCCCCACACCTCCAAGCTCTCCAGTCCAGCCAAAGTGGAGGAAGACTAAGTGCTGCTTCCTCTCCCCATCTGTCAGGAGGCTGCAAGGAGACTACCCCCTATAGTGTGCCCCTCTCCAGCCCCTGTTCTTAAAGTTGTTATGATAGATAAAATGTGGGAAGAGTGCGGGCCATCCCGCTGTGGGGGTTCAGAACTCCAGCTGAAAGGGGCTGGGAAGGCACAGAGCAAGCCCTTCCCAGCCCCCAGGGTGGGACCCTGGGGCTCACCTCTCACAAGCAGCTCTCTAATCTCTAAGACAGAGAGATGTGATGATCACTCTCCCTGGCCCCCCCAAAGCAAGGGCAGCTGCCTGCTCTCTGGTGCTGGAGAGATACCTAGCCTCTGTCCAGCCTTGTTCCATACCAGTTCCATACCAGTGTGATCCCAACAGATAGGGAAACACTGGGGCCCAGCTCCAAGGAGGGGAGAAGGGGGGACAAGAGGGAGCACCATAGAGCACGAAGTAGCTGAAAAGCTGGGAAGTGCAGAGGGAGCAGAAAAGGATCTTCCTTTGCTAGCCCTTGCCCTGGGCTGAGGCTGTTAAAGCTCCCTGTCCTTGTTCCCCACTGCACCTAGAGCAGGAAAGCAGGGTTAGAAGAGAAGCTGGACAGACTGGGGAGGGAGTGTCATCTTCGGAAGAGCAGGGAAGGCAACTGTTCACACACACGAAGCTTTCCACTCTGCTCCTAGTCCTGTGGGACGAACATCTCCTGGCATCTCTGCTCTCCTCCTCGAGGCACGCTCCCTCGGGCCCTCGCCTGACTGCCTGGAGAACAGAGCGTGAGGAGCAGCCCCCCACCCACCCTCCCATCTCCTCAGGCTGCTCCAGCCCTGCAGGGTTGGCTTCCCGAGGAATCTGCAGTGTAGTGCCTGCAACATGTGGCTCTAGAGGTTTCCCCAGGACTCTGGTGGGGGAAACTGGTCCACATCCCCAATTTCATTGTAGGTTTGCTCTCCCATGGTGAAGGTCAGCTTGTACCGTAGCCTCACTTTTTCCTGGAAATGGAGGAGAAAGGATAAGCAGTCAGAAGGAGGGGAAGAAAGGCATGAGGCACAAACCATTTATGTCTCTCAGACAATGCTGAGAGGGAACGGGGACAGGGTAAGGAGGCTTTGACTAGGCACCAAAACCAGCCTCTGCTCGTGCCCCAGGGATGATGCCATTACCTTCTGCGGGTTAGCGAGCAGCAGGACTTGGGTGATGGCACTGGGGTGGACAATGGGATTGAACGCTGGCAGCTCCGTGCCTGAGGGAGGCTGTAGCTTCACCTTCATTACCTAGGGAGAGAGAAGAGCATCCCACACTCCTGAGTGACTTGGCAGCCAGAAGCTCTGCTCCTGTACTTGGGGAGCTTCCACTGTCTAGTCAAAGAGAAAAACATTGTGCCAGTTCCCGCTAATCTGAAGGCAACACAACTTGCTCCCACGCCCACAGAGCTCTCTCAACCCACCCGGCTTTTCCTGCAGAAGTAGAATCACGCTCTTGCTCAGTCTGGGGACCTCAGCCCCAGCAGTTCCCTCACCTTGGGGACGGCAGACTGAAAGACAATGTTGCGGATGGGCTGCGGGGCCGTGCTGAGCATAGAAATCACCACCACAAGCACATCAGGCCTCTCGGGCAGGGCATCCTTAGCAAAGTGGAAGAGGACACGGAAGCCATGTTGATCATACACTGTCACAGGGAGAATGCTGCCTGTGGGAAAGGCAGGGACAGGCAGCAGTCAGCCAGGAGGGAATTGGCCCCATCACCCAAACTCCATGCAAGTGACAGAGACAGCATTCCTCCTCAACCTCCACAAAATCCAACAAGCAAGAAGTTTCTTCACGTTCTTCCCCTCCATGTGTGCAGTGTTTGTTCCCCCCATGCCTGCCCCCCTCTTTGTCCCCAGCTCACTGGGTTTGATTGACTCCAGAGGCACAGTGATGTTGGCCAGCGAGATCTCCTGGGGCAGCGCAGTGGCAGGAGGCCGTGGTGGCACTGCAGTACTTCCTGCTGGTGTGGTGGCAGCTTTCGGAAGTGTAGCAGGGGCAGGCAGCTCTGAGGTCAGGGGCAGTGTGGGGTTAGGGGAAACACTCTGGAGCACAGGTGGAGTGCTGGAATTGTGGGCTGTGGTGCCAGAGCTGCTCCTGTTCTGCAGATCCCTCAGGGTGAGCCGAGGGGGTGGCTGCTGCTTCTCCCTGTAGGGAAAGAGCAAGGAGTGGAACAGGGCATTGAAGTGCTGTGTCCAGCACCCCAGAACGGGAAAAGATGGGGAGAGATGCGAGATTGCACTGCCCCTGCTTACCATCGCACTTGTTGAGACTCTGGAGGCAAAGATTGCTGCAGCAGAGTCTTGCCCAGGAGGTCCAGGTCATCCAGGCCACTGCTGCTAGGAGAAGGTTTGGGGGAGGATGCACCGGCATCTGCTTTGACTGGTGGTGTTGCTGTGATAGGGGTGATACCGAGCTCATTGCTATCTGATGACTGTAAAAAGAATGCACAGGAGAGCCCTCAAAGCAGGGTTGCATTTCAGCACCAACCATCAGATCTGGGATCTTTCCCTACTTTTTCATTTATTGCTTTTACTACCCTCCCCACCCTCTGCCATGGCTCCCAGCGCATTACCTGGAAGCTGTTCCAGCCACTGGTGTCACTGGCCTGGGCAGCATGTGGTGCTGGGTCATTCAGGCCTGCCAGGAGTAAAAGTAAACATGAAGCTTAGCTATCAAGTGGGTAAGACCAATAAACGTGGCCTGAATAAGAGAGACGAAGCAGGGCAGAACCACCAACGTGGTCTCCATCTCTGGCCCCCATCCTTGCATGGGGGAGAGCCTGGAAGGTGATAGTAGTTTTTTCTGTCCAGAGATCCTCATTTGCAGTCTAGTTCTCACTGCAATTGGCAGAAAAGTGAATACTACTGGGCTGACAAGTCTGGCTGACCATGTTGTCTACTTCATGCTGTTGTACTCAAAACACTCGTCTTAGCAAACAGACACCTTGCTGGGCAAAGAAGGACTCTAAAGCCTTCTAGGATTGGGTCCTCACAAGATTTCCATGTGAACAGTTCTGGAAGTCCCATGCATCTGTTGTCAGCTCATGACTTCAACACCAAGCAGTAAACATGAGGAGCTGAGGGTGACCCACCCTTGTGATCCCATCTGGGGATGGCCATTGCATCATGCTTGATTTACCTGCCAGGTCAGTTTTCCCAGAGCAAATCAGTGGGGGCATCCCTGCAGGCTCTCTCTGACTAGCTAGGAAAACACCTTGGGACTGAAGTTCAGAGTCATAGCAGGGTCTTTCCCTCATGCTAAATGACGGACATCTCTTTGTCTTTCATTATTCCCCTCTCCCAGAGCTCTTTCTTATTAATGTTGCTGCCACAAGAAGAACCACCCATACAGACTATCCAAAGTCAAGGAGAGAATAAAGAGCTTTTGCTCTGGATTTCTCACCTAAAGACATGAGTTCATCATCCAGCAAGGAGACAGAGCCAGCCTGGTCAGGCATGGGGACTGCTGAGCCACCTGAAACGGTGGGCAAGGCTGGGTAGGAAGGGCATGTTGCTGGAAGCTCCAGGCCAGACAGATCCAGAAGCGCTGAGGTGCTGCCTGCAAAAAAAAAGAAACTGAGAATCAAGAACTTTTACCCGGTCCTTATACAGTGTGCTGAGGCCAGTTCCCATCCTTCCGCACACCTGGGAGAGGGAGAATGCCCTGCTCTCCCTTCCAGTTCCCTCTCTTCATGCATCAGTCACCCTCACATGCTGTTTTCTCATCTCACCAGCCCCACTCTGACCTGCTGCAGGTTTCACCTTTCCACTGCTCTCAATCTCCTCTTACACTGCAGGAAACCAGCAATAGGGTCTCTCTGCTTGATGTTCCTGTCCCCAGTTCCCCAAGTCTCCTCACCTCGAAGGGGAGCAGCCACTGTCTCCCCATTGATCTCTTCTCCCCGTACAAGCTGCTTGTAGAGATTGATCACCTGTGTTAGATTGTCATTGGCTTGCAGGATCTCCGCTGAAATGGAATAGGTGGGAACTAAGTTTGAAAACAGTCAAGAGAGTGACTTTTATACCCTGATTCTGTCTATTCTGTCAAAGCAAGGCCCAAGGAGTTGCAACAACCCACTGCAGAGAGGGTGTTTGCCATTGTTGCTGCAGAATGCACCAGGGTACACTGACACCTCCACGGCAGTCTCAGCAGGAATGAGAAAGGCCAGATTTGTTTACCCAGAGCTTCATCATTGTCTTCTGTGTCACTGGCAAGGCGGAAGAGCATGGGCCTCATGCGCTCACAGCGCTGATACAGCTCCTGGAGGAGAGGAGAAAGGGGTGCTGAGGTAAGCAGCAGGACGCTCAGCTGGGGCTACAAAATAGGCAGGAGGACAGGGGGATAAGGGTCACCCATTTCTGCTATGCCCAGGGAGGATGCTGGGATGGCCTTCCCTCACCTTCATTAGGTCCTCATTGCTTTCTGTTGTCTCCCCCTTGCTGTAGTTTGTCACCATCTCTGTCAGCAGCTTCACATTGTTGTTCACCTCCTCAATGGCATTCACTCTCTTGGAGATCTTCTCCATGCGCTTCTGGTCCTGGAAGGGAAGCACATGGGGAAGGATGTCCTTGCTCTTGGCTATAACTTGGAGAGGAAGCCAGTCAACCTGGTCTAAGGCACAGCAATACTGCCCTCAAAACAGCTCCCACTCCACTGAAAAACTCCAGGTTATCTCTGGGCCATAACTTGCCAAACAGAAGGAACTGCTGCAGATCTAGTGCTGCAACAGGGCTTGGGCCACAGAATGCACCCAGAGCCATTCCTCCAAGAAGCCAAGGGATGGCAGAAACCACACATGGACTCTTTAGCAGCTGCTACAGCAAAATTCTGGGCAGAAGCTCTGTATGTCTGCATGAGGTCATAGAGCCACTGCTCCTTTAGTGCCAACCATCACGACCCAGACCATGTCCCCCCAGCTTCCCCCTTTCCCAGCCACACCTCCTGAACCATCTCCTTGATGAGCTTGTTAGCAGCCCGGAGGTCCTCGGGATGGGAACTTTTCAAGAGCCGAGCCAGTGTCTGCAAAAGAGAAGGTACCTCTGAGCCCAAGCTGAGGGGCGGCAGCCAGAGTCGCTCTTGCTACACTAGAGCCAGTAGTTCCCCCTGCCCCAAACCTGTATCTGGCAGAAGCAGTGGACAATGCCAGCTGTTTACAAAGCCCAGCCACAGGAGCTATCAGAGACCAGGGAGAGAAGAAATAAAACTGCCCTTCCTTTTCCCATTATGGTTCTGTTTATGTGAGATAGGTCTTTCCCTGAAGATTCCCTGCATTCAAACCCTGCTCCTACCTGCCTGTTACCCACCACAGAGAGTCCAGAGTGCAGCAGCACTAGCACTGAGACAGAGAAAGCCTGGTTTGTGCAAGAATTACCATGGGATTGCAATGGACTCAGACCTCTTAACATGCCTCTTTTCAGGTGCAATTGGTGAAGAGGGAGAGCTCCCACCTTCTCTCCCTCTCCACAGTCAGTGAACAGTCCCACTGGCCACCTATAAATCCTCATCTGCAGACTCTGATCCATGGAGGCAAAAGGTGTCACCTGCAGCAAACTGGCTGCAGAACTAGACCCAGAGGAGCTCAATACTTGTTTAAATGTATCAGCACTGATAATGCAGAAGTTTGCCTGACACAATTCCAATGGAAAGACAACAAAGGATGAGTCCAGGAGGGTATAAGTAGTTAGGCAATAAGCAGATTGCAGTACTGGGGTGGGGAAGAGATAACACCAGCAGCATCTGGGGCTGGATTTAGACCTTGTGGCCAGGTAACTCAGCTAAGTCAAAGGTCAAACAGACCCATATGCCCCACCTCTGTCCGTTTCCTTTGTCATGATTTTGGAGCAGTCCCTCAGCGTTCCTGTGATGCAATTTTCTGAAGGAGAGCATGTGGAACAGGGGCCTCCACATTAGGGGGACATGAGATACTGGAGCAGGAGGATATTGCCTGCTGTCCCTCTCCTTGCACAGAGCCCTCACCTTGGATTTTTCTTCATCATCAAAGATGATGTTCTTGGGCCGAGGGGGTGGCGGTGGAAAAGGAGCATCATCGGGCAGTTTTGGGTCACACTTCACAATTCCTACAGTAGACACCAAGGCAGAGATCAGCAAAATTCACCCATTTGGGGATGGCACCGCCACCCAGGTCTTCTTTCCCTAGTGGCCCACCAAATCCAGCTGGGACTGATGGTGTGTGGGTTTGCTCCTGTTACCCGAGACCCTGGATAGTGTTTTCACAAGAACTCCCCATAAATATCCTCTCTTAGAAAATTCCAGCATCTACTGCCAAAGCACTCATAGCCCTTCAGCCCCAGACCTTTCCAGGGCCCCATCTCCCACAGAAGCAAGCAGATATGTCCTCCCACCCAGCAACTTGGACCACCAGCAACTCCCTCTGCCCAGCTAGGAGCCCCAAGACACCCAGTCCTTCTCCTGATCCTAGTGCTGAGCCAGACCGATGGATGTTGTGGGTCTGGGCACAGGGAAGGGAGAGCTCATTTCAGATTCTGTCCAGACAAAAAACAAGGGAGGGCAAACCATCCATCCACCTTCCCCTTCCAGACCTTGTTTCTTCAGCATCTGGTAGGCTTCTGAGATCTTCACCTCGTGGGGCAGCCCTAGTGTCCAGCTGTACATCAGCTCCAGGATCTTTGACTTCACTTTTTCTGGTGTCCGGCTGCCAAGATACTAGAGGAACAGAAAAAAGGTGGCTTTAAGCTGATCTGAGCCGTTGCAAGCTTGGCCTGTTCCTCCCCTCTCACTCCCCAGGAGAAGTGAGACTATTTCCAACGGCACAAGGAGGAGGAAAGAGGAAGCAAGTAGGGAAGCTCATGAGGGCCTTGCAACACATCCTATGCTGTGCCTGGTTTCCACAACAGGAAAACAATAGGTGTGAGAAGTGCTGTAGCAGCAGCCCCTTAGCAACACACAGAGATAGGTGGGAAGGCTCAGGCAGGTCTCTGTCCCCTCCTTGTGAAGAAAAGGGTCCTGCCAACAGATGCTGCTCAGCAAGGGAGCCCTCGAGAACAGGGGACAGCAAGGCTGGGAGAGAAACGACTGTGGTTAATGGTCTCCAAGGCAGGGCCCAGTGCCTGGCATCCTTTAGAGCAAGGTGAGCCCCAGATGACCAGTACACAGTAGGGAGATATCCAAATGCTACAGCTCTCCTCCTGCCATGCAATCATCCTTCACCCTTCCCCTGTGGGTCTGCTGGGAGTTCCGGTAGTAGAAACAGTGCATGTACCACCAGAGTCTAGTGGCTTAAGGTGGAGGACATGCTCTAGGGTGCCAAGCGAGAGGACTTTAGGATGCTGCTGTCACTGTTCCTGGTTATTCATCACTGCAGATCACAAGCTGTGACTGGCAGACAAATGTTTTCCTTAGTCATAGTCTTTGTTCCGTTAACCCTACACTTGCTGGTGTTCACTGTCTTGATTGAATAGGGGAGCACACACAGCTTGTTCTGCTGCAGGAACAGCAGCATCAGCAGAGGAGCAGGTAAAGACTTGGTCCTTCAGATGGACTCGCCAGAACACCACTGACCAGGCCTGGGCTTGTCCTCCCTGAGTGTCTCAATCAGGTTGGGACACCCCAGAGAGACATGGTCAGATGTCAGAGCTGGGGGAGGTTCCCGAGCACATGCAGCACAGAGCCCAACAGCAATGCAGAGAAGGTGACTCCAGGCCCGCACGTGAGCTCAGCTGTCTCACAAGCGCTGGCTGCATCATGTCTAGCTGGCCCTCAGCTTCCTACATCAACAATCAGCCTGGAACAGAGGGGTGAAAACTCACCTTCCAACCAGGAAACTCAGCAGGGAACAAGGACTAGATCTCATATTAACACTGTCCTGTTTTCCCTACATTCCAGTGGCTGTCTGGCCTTTCTGCTCAGCCACCACTTTTTCCCAAAGCCATCCTGTCACCAGGAGTCCTCTCTAGCACGATGCCCTGAGACCCACCTTGGGTGACACCACCTTGATGAGCTCATTGAGGAAGCGGAACTTGCCCACCTCGTCATGGAAGCGTTTGCCACAGCTCTTCATGCAAGACTCCAGCACCTGAGGAGAGGGGACAGGTGAGTCCCAGCATGGGGACAGCAGCAGGATCAGGAGGCAGCTCCCTCCTCCTTCACCAGGTGTGGGGCCCGTGGCTCCTGTCACAGCAGCAGAAGAACATCCCCTTCCCCCCATCCCAGGGTGGTCAAGCACCCTCCCACAAAGAAACAAGATTTTCCTCTTTGGAGCCAGTTTTTGCAGACATGGCTCAACAGCCCATGGAAAGGGCTACCCTTAGAGAAGTCATACCAGGGTTTCACAGTGTGGATCCACAATATGATTAAGGATCATAGAATCATTTGGTTCGAAAAGATCATCAAGATCATGGAGTCCAACCATTAACCCAGCACTGCCAAGACCACCATAACAAAAAACAAAAAGCTTCCTATCAACAGGATACGATCTTAGGAAGTAACCAAGTAACCTCTCCTGACTTGTGGAACCACCTTTGCTCCCTCTCCCACCCAAGGGCCCAGGTGCTCCAGGGCTTTCTTAGAGGGAATTCAAAGCTTCCCATACTTCTCCAGTAAAGCTGGAGCATCTCCAGGCCCTGCCCCTCCATCTAGTTCTACAAGCCTGCAGATGCCCTTACCGTGAGGGCCTGGATCGCTTCCCATTCTTGCGGAGACTGGATCTTGTGGGCAAGAAGTCGGGTGGCAAGTGGAGGACTGGAAGGAGTGAGGGGAAAAAAAAAGCTAGGCAGTTATTGATGAAAACCCTGGTCCCTGCCTTCCTGTCTTGGAATCCAGGGGTGAAAAGCATGTCGCAAGTTGAAGACACTGATAAGGCACCAAGACACCTCAAAACCTGGGGGGTACCTTCCATTAGTGGACCAGGACCCCCCCCACCTACCCTTACCTTGAGGGCCTTTGTGCCTATTCAGCTCTTGGGACAATCCCACTGGATTTTACTGTGTGAGGGATCACAACTAGGCCCGTGACCTGGAAAGGACGAAGCACTTACCCCTCCAGCTCCTTATTGAGCTGCTCGCAGAACGCATTGATACCATCCCAGTCCAGGTCCTTGTTCAAGGGGTTTGTTGCTTTGTCTGCGGGCCGGAGGAAGGGACGGTAAGAAAAACCTCCCCAGGCGAGGGGCAACGTCGATCCCACTCCCTCCCTGCCAGCTCCACCAGGTGCAGTGGCGGGGGATGGTGAGGGAGGAGAAACACGCCGGTGTGCCCTCGCCCCTTCCCTGCCCTGTGCACAAACTCTCGCCCCCTCCTCCCCGCTGACCCCCACGCGCCCGCCCGCCCCGGGCTCACCGCAGTCCCCGGGTGCGCCCACACCCACCCCCCGCGTCGGGCCCCGCACCTGCCCGGAGCCGTGCCCTCCACACCCCGCTACGCGCGACCCCCGGCGTCCCCTCCCTCACAGCCCGCCCGCCGGCCGCGCCAGAGAGAGCGGCGGGGCGGTCGCGACCGCACTCACTGATGCGCGCCTCCAGCGTCTCGGGCTCCATGTCGGGGGGCCGCGGCTGCTCAGCGGGGCAGCGCCGCTCCGCCGCCCTCCCGCCGGGCCCGGCGCGGCCGCGCCATGGAGGGCCCCGATCCCTCTGGCCACTGACACCCGGAAGTCAGCGGCCCAGAGCGTCGCCCCGCCGCCAGCGCGCCCCCTGCCGGTGCGCGCCCCCGCTCCACCATGGAGCTCACCCGCGCGGGGGAAGGAAAGGCGCGGGACGGGAAAGGAAGCGGAAGGGCCTCTCGGAGAAGGGCACGGAGGGCAGGCGAGCGCGGGGCGGGGCGAGGCGCCGGAAAGCGGCCGCCGCGCGGAAACCACTGGGCCGACCCTCCCCGGAACAACCCGCATACTGGCAGGTGAAGCCACTTCCGGCAAAAAGACCGGGCACTTCCGGCTGGCGGCGCGCGGCGTCCTTTCAAAGGACACGGGCTCGCCGGATGCGGCGCATGCGCAGTGCGCCCCCGCCCCGGAGATGGAGGGGGACCAGGTGCCGGCCCGTAATAAATATAAATATAATATAAATGCTAGTAAGCGAGCTCCCCTGCCGTGATCTTTAAGTAGCAGGTGATCTCCTGACCTTCTGCCTCGCTGAGCAGCGTGCGTGTGAGGGGATGTCGGTGGAGCCCTGGAGAGAGCTGGAGGGTTCCAGGAGAACAAACTTCGTTTGCCCTCGTTTTTCTCGTGGCTCTGGCAATCTAGGCCAGCGCCAGCTGTGACACTTGACACCGCCTGTTTGCTCTCTGCTCCAGTGGCCCTGGCAGGAGCAGCGCGTCTTCTCCCCGACTCGCTGCCTTCGTTGTTTACTTTCCTGCACTTCAGCGCTGGTGGAAGGGACGAGCTCGGCGAGCTCTGGGGAGCCTCAGCCTCCCCCTGTGTGAGGAGTGCCCTGTTGGGTTGTCGGCGGTGGTGTTTGGGGCTGGGGCTGCCAGGGAACGTCGGCGATAAGAGCACAATGCAGCCTATACAATGCAGCCTGTTCGGCGTTCCAGCGTCTGATCCTGGAGACAGGCGTCTGAGCCGGAGCCGTCCCGTGCTGGGTTACTCATTTACAGTGCTAATCCCATGGTTGACGAGGGAACTGCCCTGTTGTCACACCTAATGGCTTTTCCTTATGGATAGCCATTGTTTCGGTGGGGATTTTTTGGCCATTAAAAAGCACTTATTTTGGCGCTTGAATGTAGTTCTTTTTTTAACTGTTACTGCCTTGCATCACAAAGCCCTTTTTAAGCACCTTTCATAGAAAATTGCAACATCCTTCCCTCTGCTCCGTTCAGGCACGTTTAACACGTGTTATTTTAATCTTATGAGTCAACCTTGCCTGTCAGTACTACCTCTTTGATTTTTCTGAGAATCCTGAAGTCATCTTTAGGAGCCCTCCAGGTCATGTACCATCTGCATAGAAGGCATGCATGTCTCTTCTCCACCCCCCACAGCGATGCCTCTGAAGGAGGAGTTTAGCAGGCTGGTGTTTTACCTTTGCTCAGGTTTCGGTCTGTCTGAGTCTCAAGCTTGTTTGTTTTCCTACCTTTGGCAACACCCAGTAGTTAGCCAAGTCCAGGATGAATGGAAGGCTGCACCCACTTTTCAGCTGGTTGCAAACAATGGCGAGTGAACTCGTGCATAACAGTCCTGTCAGCAGCGACCTTGCCTTTATTTCTCATAGATTTAGGAGTCTCTTTTCCCTTTGGTTACATCTGCTTTTCATATAACAAGGACCCTAAGTGCAACTGAAGAAGAAAGAGAGATCGGAGTCTGAATTTTGCTCCCTGTAACAGTGGTTAGATGTTGTGAGGAAGAAGCTTTCTCACTTCCCTCGATTTATTTTTACCGACAGATGGAATTTCCAACTAGGTCTGGACGGCGTGAGGCGCTCCATGTGGTAATTAACACCGCTCCAGAGGGAAAGTACTGGAACTATAATTAGCTTATAGCCAGATGCGGAGGAAAGTGATGACGCCAAGCCAGAGGCCTGGATGAGCACAGCTCACGGGGACAGAGGGGTGCGGGTCCCGGGTTTGGCACAGGGATATAGGTCCCAGGTTCAGCAGAGGGATGCAGGTCCCGAGTTGGGCAGGCCTTGCAGCAGCCGTCCGCAGAGGGCACCAGAAGGCAGGGGAGCGCCTGCCTGAGTAGCCGGGCTCAGCAAACGCTCTTGCTGCCCGTGCACTCGAGGTGAATCGCCGAGCAAACCAAGCCCCAAGTCCTTCGGGAAGGGAAGGTGGCCTCGCAGGAGTGGCCGGGTCGCCTGGGAGAGGGGTTTTCCATCCATCAGCTCGTCTTCAGCCAGCCAAAACCACGCTGGCACCCCCTGCTCTGTCCCAGGGTTGGTTTGGTTTCTCTGCCGTGTGTGTTTATGTAAACCCTGCCATGTTTTTCAGATGCGCTTGTGTGGGGCAGCGAGAGCTTTTGTGTGTTTCCTGCTGGATTGTCGGCTCTGACCCGTGACGTGAGCTTCCCTTTCCCCCTGTCACATTCTTCTTTCTTTGGCAAGGCGTTCTGCCAGAGACCTTTCACTTTCCTGAAGCTTGGTACCGTCATCTTTTGTTCCCTTTTCTTGTTTTCCTGCTCTGGCTGACTGCAGCAGCCAGTTCCTGGGGGGTTGGCTCAGTTTTAACTCTGCTACTCTCTCTTGGAACAGGCTGGCAGCACCTCTTCTGACATCGTCTCGGACCATGCACCTCTTTATGCAATCCTCTGGATTTACAGCCCTGCCATTCCTTGACCTTGGCTAATCTCCATACTTTTGCAATACTTTCAAGCATCTTTCCCAGTGGAAGGTTGCAATTAGAGAGACAAGTATAGAGTTGCATACTTCTCTAGAGGGAGAGCAGGTTTGAGCTCCTTTAATCTAATAGGAAATGTCTCCTTTCCTTCATATGCAGCACTTTCTTGTGGTATGCAGTCATCCACCAGGATTGCTCCCTTCCATTTCTTTCAGCAGTTTCCCTTTCAGCTGTAGGAAGACTTGTCCTGTGTGATCAAAGGCATCCTTCTACAACTATAGGAGCAGAATGAGGAAACAGAATGCTGGATAAGGGATCAGAAAACCTGCTGGCTAGATCTCTGCAATTAGGCATGTCTTGGAGCAAGACTCAGGGAAATGCTCAGCTATGCTCACTGCCTCAGTTTCCCTGGTTGTTAGCGTGGGGGTAATTGCATTTGCTTCCTTCAGGGAATTGCCTTGACCTCGGTAAACCAAATTTCCTTTCCATGTTGATTCTGTCATTAGAGCAACTGGCTCAGCAAGACAAGTGAGAGAAGCAAATACCAGAGTTAGAGGTGAGCTGTGCAGCTTGCTGCTTCCTGGTGTTTGAGTTCTCCTTCCAAACTGGGCAGCTCAAGGGGTGTCTCGATCCCTTGACCGAGCTGGCAGCAGTGCCCTTCTGGACAGTATGGGGAGTGAAATTGCCTCCTTACACCCTGGGGAAGGCTCAGATGGGTTTGCTGTTGCTGAAAGCTTCTTCCCAAGAGAGTCCAGGACATTCAGGGGATGCTCTGAGAATGTGGGAATGCTCTTGCTGCCGAGGAACATTATTGGCAGCAGGCAGTGATGAAATAAAACTGACAGAATGGAAGCCCTAGTCATAGCCATGTCTTAGGGGCTGATAGGTTATGTAGCTGGTGAGCCAAAATCTGAACAGGGAGAGGAAGACCTGCCAGGTTAGAGACAGCTGCTTAAATTTATGGGGCTGAAGTGAGCATTGCAGGCCCTGAGCCCGCAAGGGGGAGCCTCGGTGGAGTTATTCACAGCACTGCTGATGAGATCAGTTCCAGACTGGAACAGATCCGCTACTGATACTGTGCACTCGGGACTCAGGAGTCAACAGAGGCATTAGAAAACGTGAACAGATTCACCCATTCTTGCTCTAACCCTCACTTGCTGTGCTGTTGCTAACAGATGGAAGGGGCATCATTAGAAAGCACAAGTATTGGGGGGAAAAAGTAGTTTAAGAGCATGAATTTTGCTGAGGTATAGTTTGGCTCTAAAGAACAGCAGGAGGGAGAAGGAGAAAAACCCTACTGCAAAGGCATTTCTGAGGGGCATCCAAGCATGATCTGAGCAGAGACTGGCAACAGGAAACTAGGCATCCTGAAGCAAACCAGGGAGCCCAGCTGTGGCAAATCCCCCAGCCTGGATGATGAATACATCCCTGCATTGCGGTGACAGCAAAGTGTGACTTAGTGTTTGCTGGGAATATTTAGTGTAGCAGCTGCCCCGGGGAGCTCAGAGGCACAGCCGTGTGCAGCCTCTCTTTCACAACGTGGCACAGGGAGGAGGTATTCCTGCTGCAGGGTGCCCCAGTGCCGAATGCACGTGTACTCAGCTGTGCAGCTGGCTCAAGTGTGGCAGCTGGTGAGTTTGAATAGATGGGTTTTGGCCTGGGCTTGAAAATCTCTCACTGCCAGCAATCCTGCTTTGGCTGCAGCTGCCTCAAGTTCCCTAGGAAACTTCAGTGCTGGCTTAAGTCGGGACTGTGAAACAGCAAGAGGAGGCAGTCCGGTGGCGCTCTCCCTCCATCCAGGCTGCTCAGTCTCTGCCGCTTAGCACTGCAGCCAGCTTCTGCCCTTAGCTTTTGGTGACGGGTTGGTGACGGTGAGGATCAGCAGGGCAGAGCGATCCCAGTGCTGGGGCATGGTGGACGTGAAGCTTGGAATGAAAAGAAAACTGTGACCCAAGAGGAGGAGGAGGGAGACGCAGAGTCTGCATACGCAGATTTCCCAAGGACCTGACTTTTCACAGGCTCCTTTTTAGTCCCTCTGGTTTCATCTGTCCTAGTAAGCACTACAGGAGCATGGCTGGGCCTAAGCACTGCCTCAGGATGTTGGCTCATGCTGTGCAGTTGTTAGCAACCTCCCTGCCTTGGTTTTGGGCAGTGCTAGCTAGCAGTGCCACAGCACCCAGGCACAGCTGGGGGACAGGGTGGACTGGGGACTGTTCCCACCAGAGCCTTGTTGTCACCATGCATTTAACCCCATAAATGGGAGCTGCATTCTGCTCCTTGCTTTTGGGGCCAAGAGTGAAACGACTAAACCCTGTAAGCCCAGGTCTCTTAGAAGGCAGGCTTTTGAAGTACAGTTGCCTGCAGCCTGTGTATTTACCCCCTAATTTTCCACTGTTTCCCTCTTCGAAGATGGGAAATGTCATGCAACAGGTTGTAGGTGAGTGTGTGGGATGGGAGCGTGTGCGCCAGACTGAAACTGGGAAATGCTAATGCTCTGTCTGCTGGTTACAGCTGAACACTGGGTTGTGACTCAGTGTCCTACAACCCATGCTATGGATCACTGTATTTGACCTACTGCCATGAGGGGTGGGAGAGATGCTATGAGAAAACATTGCCCAATTACATGAGATCATGTGGGTGTGGGGACCAGCTCCTGGATGCAGGGGGTTAGAGAGGCCTGGACACACAGACGTGTTGAAATTGCCCCTCTGGATCTCCTGCCTCGAGCAGGCAGGAGAAGGAGCCTATGGAGCATGCGATTCTGCAAGAGCTTCCCGTGCGTGCACACCTCTGTCCTGGTTCCCCTGCCACCCCAAACTACATCAGGTTTGGGAACTCAGGGAGCAGAATGGGGGCAGAGCTCGTGTATCCCCCATTTAATGTGTTGCTGACAGACATGTTCGCCAGCCAGGAGAAGGATCAGGTGAACACCTCTGGGGGTGTTTGACCAGCCTCTGCTTTGTATTTACCTGGAGGGGCTGTGTTCAAACAACACACTGTTCCCTTCAGCTCAGCAGCATTTCGAAGGCACTGTTTGCATGTGGGGCGTGACGCAAACATGTTGCATCTTTGCTGTCCCTGATTTGCAGCCCAAGCCCTTTCCTCTATGCAGAAGGAGATGTTCCCAGCAGAGGCTGCTTCTCTTTCCATGTCCCTCCTTGATCAGAGTAGCTTTGCATCTTGAGTAGCTTGCTTCCCTGCAGCGGCACTCTGGCTGAATTTCCGGAGGAGGATGTGCACTGGGAGTTGATGGGGTTAAAAGTGGTGTCACAGTGTGATTCCAGAGTGGGCTATTAGACTTCTTCCCTCTGCTGTCTTGCTGCTGTGCTGCTCCTGCAGCCAAGCAGCCACTTGCTGGTGTCCAGAGCTAGTGCGAGGCACTCTTCAGCTCATCCTGAGCCAGACCTCTGGGGAGGTGTGTCTCTGACAAAGCTGTTCAGGAAAGATTTCCACCCCTTTCCTAATGAGGCCGAGTGAGTAATAGAGATGTTCCTCAGGGATGGTCTTGTTAGGAGTGCTACGTGCATGTTCAGGAGCAGAAAGCAGGTCTCCACTAGCCTTTTCCCACTGTTGTGCAGCAGATGTGGATGTGTGTCCCATCTTGACAGAAGAGATAAGCTATCTGCCTGCAGATGGGAACTTGCCTGGCAGTTGCCTGTCATCCTCACATTGTCCTTATCAGATCCCCTGGCTTGGCAAGTCTGTTGGCAATGTGTTTCAGGCTATTCAGCCTGGGATATGATAAGATTAGTCTGGGGTGAATTGCATTTAAAGCATTTAGTTTCTAATACTCTTTTCCCCTCTCTGGAGCAACCATTCTCCATCCAGGAATCTGACTGCAATTAAAGCCTGGTGTGTGCTCTGCTGCTGGGGGCTTTTGGGGAGGGGAGGGGAGGAGAGTGGCACAAGGAAACCTGGGGGCAGCTAGAGACGCAGGCAGGTTCTGGCCAGTGGTGAGGAATAAAAGGACAGCAGAAAAGCCACACGCTGGAAGGAATGGAAAGAGAACCAGAGAGACCAAACAGTCTGGCATGACTGTTGGGAATAAATATTCACTGTGGTCAAGTGAGGGCTTATGTACTACTGGATACGTGGATCAGAAAAGGGGTAGAAGTTCATGGACGCAGTCCAGAGAAGGGACAGGATGCCTGTATAGGATGGGGTGTCCCTTAGTGCCCAGTATAGTGCTGGAAAGGGAGACCAGGTGTCCCAACAGTGCAAAGCAGCTCCAAGCAGCTGCTGCCCCGCTCCTTTAGGTACCTCGAGGAGATGAAAGATCTCTGGGCTCTAATGCTGGCTTTGAAAGCTCCTTCACCTGGTGACAACTCTAAGCAAGACTATGGATGCAACTCCTCACTGGGAAGCAGGGGAAAAGTAATTTAACATTCCCTGCGCTGGTGGGAGCTGGAACCTCCTCTGGACATTGGTTGTGCTTGGAGCTCTTGCAGCAGGTCAGGCTCAGTTCTCTTCCCTGTATGTTGCTCTGAAGGTCCATGGGTTTGAATATTTCTGGTGCCCTTCTCCTGGAAGGTGTGAGGAAAGGAATACAGAGTCCTTCGTGTGGGCCTGATCTTTTCTTAGGTCTCCTTTAGATGCCTGCAGTTCCCTCTTTAGATGCCCATTTCCTGCACTGAGTCAATCATTTGGGGATTTGGATTCCCTTTTTTTTGGCAGCTTTTCTTTCCCATTTTCATCTGGTTTGGTTTTTACTATTTCATTTTGCAGGGCCATCAAAGGAAGTTTGTTCAAGCTGATTTTGGAGAAACAGATAGTTTTGACTTGACAACCTCTTCTTCTGCAGACCTCAGCCATGCCCTTAGATCCAGGGTAGGTTGCCTGTTCAGACCCTCTCAAAGCTGATGTGTGGTAAGGTGGCTTGCTGCTTCCCAGTGGGGATGAGGGATACTTGGCTTTAGTGACGTGAGCATGGGAGAACAGACTTTTTGTTTTCCCTCCCATTCTTTCCAGCCCATGAGCTGTTAATTCTTGTGGCTTTTCAAAACTTGCTATTTATCCCTTAGCATTTCTTTCTCTCTCTCTCTTTTTTTTTTTTTTCCAGTGGAAGAGCCACCCTTGGCATTGTGCCTCATGCGTGTGACTCAGATGGATTCTGCTTGTCTGAAGATTCCTGTAAGTCCTCATAGTTGTCCAACCTGCCTGAGCTCAGCACTGGAACCCGTGAGAAACACACTCAAAGCGAGTCATGCAGTGCCAGTGGCCTTGTTCTCCCTGTGTGGGATGGAGTGCTGTGCGCAGGGGCTCGGCAGTCACTCTCACTTCATGCCTTTGCTGTCCTGTGGGGTTGAGTCTGGGATGGCTGTTTGGAGCTCAGAGCAGAGAGGTCCCCGTGGACCGTTTGTGTATGGTGCAATATTTTGCTTATTGTAGTTCCAGCCAACTGGTCTCATGCTGTCTCTGTTGTGGGAAATGATCCCCTTGCAGTCAGCAAAGTTGGGCTTGGAGCATCTTGGAAGTCCCCCGGCTTCCACTGTTGGAAGGCTTCTGTTCTTTGAATGCCTCTGATTTTCAGACTTAATTGGAGCCACCCAAGGGCTAATTTTTTCCAGAGGCACTGAATGCCTCAATACCTCCTGCTGGTAGTAAATGGTGTGACCAGAGATCAGCATCTCTCATACTCCAGCTGTATCAGCTAGGGGACCACAGCATCCTTTTAGGTTCTTGCAGAGGTTTGCAAAGAAGAGTTGGCTTTGGATGTGAATGTGGGTGTCTGTACCTCAATTTCATCATGTGCAAGATGAGGGAGCTGCTATCTGCCTTACTCAATGGTAAGATAAAACTGTTGGAGATGTTAATCTTTGAGTGCAAGATGCAAGTGGAGCATAAGACCTCATGAAGCTGTTCCTTTGTGGAGAGCTCTTTGGAAGATCTTTTTCTCATTAAGCTAATAATATCTCATCCAGAAGATCTGGGTGAAGCTGGAGAGACTTTTGGGAGATCCCAAAAGTCTCAGAGAGGGGGAAGCTGTGAGCCTTCTATACATCTCTTTGCCAGTAGGGAAGCTTTCAGCACAAGTGCATTTTTATCTTCAGGCATGTTTTTGAAAGCCTTTCCCACAACCCACATTCCTGGCATGCACCCATGAGTGAAAGAATTAGAGAAATGAAGTCTGGAAATGGAACTGGGTGGCATGTAATCAGTCCTCTGACCTCCCTTCCCCACCCTGTGCCAGTTCTGTTCATTCTCCTGCCCCTCAGGCAAGCTGGGGACTCAGAAGACATGACTCATCTGGCTGCCTGGGTTGATGACATGGCCCTGGTGCCTTATGAACCAGCTTCCTTGCAAACGAACCACCTTTCTCCCCTTCCTCATGCACAACTCATACCATACAAAAATGTTGCCACAGACTTCAGAGCTGCCTGAGAGAGAGGTTCCCTGCAAAGGTATAAGGACATAACTTGGCTATGGGGATGGAAACCATCCAGCAGAGCACATTTGAACTCCCCATGGAGATGGGAGATGCCAGTCACTCTTGCACCACCACCTTTCTGATAGGGGGAAGAGAGAGATGGAGTCTGATGGAATCTGTTCCCTGTGCTCTTGATCTGCTTTCTTGGTGCAGGTTCCCTCTTTTGCTGCTGCCCCTAGCCCTGAAGAAAGGTGTGGGTTTTTTCCACATTTTAGTTCTTTAGCTAGCTTTTTCCTTCCTCCTCCTTATTCCCCACATCCTAAGGAAGAGAAATTGCCCCCTACAGCTGAAGGGGGATGATGTTTGTGGAGAGCCTATTGGATGCTGATGGCCTCTAATCTCTTGCCTTCAGGTTCAGAGCATGGATGCTACTTCCATACTTCCCACTATCAGGTAGCTGGGGCGGGAAGGGTGACGGAAGATTCTCTTCCAGTCCTTTGTTCCTTCCCATTTTACTTGATCTGAATGCAGAGGCTTCAGTGCTTTCCCTAAAGGAGCAGCCCCTCTCTGGTCAACCTCTTAGGCAGGAGCTTAGTGCTCATGGGCACTAGTTTCCTTGTGCTCATCATTGCTTTGGCTTCTACATCTCCTGGACAGTCCTCTCCTGTACATGCCCTTCAGATCCACAGAGCTGCTTACCCAGTCTCTTGCTTCCCTCAGTTTGGCTGAGGTAAGTACACTTTGTTCTCTTGGTTTTCCTCCGTTAGGAAGCTGGCTGGCTTTCAGAGCTTAGGATCGGTTGGCTGAAGGTTGCAGCACTGTCTGCTGAGAGGCCAACCAACACCTCTTGACTAAAGGGGAAATCAGTTCTGTCAAACCTGTCTGGGAATTTCTGTGACTGGAAGCTGGAGGACTGAGCATCTCCATCAGGAGGTGGTGGAAGCTTCTCAGTCGTGTCCTGAGCCCTGGCTGCTGAAAATCCACCCCACAGTCCTCTAAGGTAGGGGGCATTCACCCTCTAGGCCTCATGAATGAGGGACACCAAGGCAGAAACAGGGCTTAATCACAACTGCTGGGAGGAACCACAACCAGGGTCCAGATGAGGTCAGAGAACACAGTTTAAATCAGGTCACTACTTGATATTTATTGTGTGCAGTCTTTCTTTTTTCTTTACTCCCGCACTGAAATCTTTCCCCAGAGGCTATTCAAGGAAATAAATAGCCAGTGGAAAGGGACAATAGCTTGCTGTGGAGTACAAATTATATGAAGCTGTAGGAAATAATAGCAGTGTGAGCAGATGCTACCCCAAGAAAGAATGCATGGTTGGTCTCTCCAGTTCCCTTTGCCTTGAGCAGATGCTGATGCCTCGTCCAAGGCACAGGCTCTCTGGTGCCTTGAGTGCAATATGGGACAGGCACCTTATCCCCTCTGCAATGTTGTTGTCCTCCAGTGCTGCTTCTTTGGTTTCAAATTAGCACTGAGCTGAAATCACAGCCTTCCACGGGGGTATTAAGGCAATCTCTTTCCTCTTTTTGCAGAGCTTGGTTTGATGTGAGGTCAGTGGCATGGACATCCATGCACCTGGCGTGGCTGCCTTGCCTTTCCCTCTCTTCCTTATTCCTTCTGGACTGAGCTTCACATCTGGTGATGACCATGTCGGTCCTGCAGGGGACTGTTCATAGCTCATGCTGTCTAGAGAGAATGTGTTGGCTGCCTTCCCCTCTGAGCCCCTTGCAGCCCTTCCTCAGAACACCATTGGGAGAGATGGTAGGGACAATTTTGGTGTGCTGGTGTGGATTTTGGAGGCTGCCCCTGCCACAAAAGGCCCTGAGAAACCTCTGACAGCTGAGGCAGTTTGGCTACTTTGGCTGGGAAGTGGGGAAACCCGTGGTTTTCCTCAGGGCTTCACACCTAGCTGGCTTATCTCCTGCCCCAGTGAGAAACCAAAATAAATACTGCTGCCAGCAATGATGCTGCTGAGGATCTTGGCAGCCTGCTGGGGAGGGTGGCATTCAGTCTGTTCTCAACAGCTGTGTGGGTGCCCTGTGGTAGAAGTGGCAGCTCTAGGCTATGGTACATGAGGTACTGCTGTCTGGAGGATCCCAAGGATCCTGAGATCCTATGAATGCTCCTGGTGGCCTGAGATCTCCTTAGGACCTAGCAGGAAGGCCGGGAAGGACTGTTAACACTGAAATCTATTGTATGGGACCTCTGCAAATAGAACTGCTGCATTTTATGGGGTGAAAATACTCTGCAGAGGACCTGCCCTGCCACCCTTCTGGCTGAAAGCCAAGATGATTGCAATTAATCTCTTCCCTCCTTAAAATATGGTTTTGGGTTTTCTTTATTTTCTCCATGCAAAATTGCAGACCTGCTCCCTATTGGAAACTCATCTTTCCCCTGGGTTGCATATGCCCCCACCCTCGCACTGAGTGACTATTTGTTTGGTCTCTGCCATCCCTCTGGAAATGCAGCAAATCCTCCTCTGGCATCAGTGGTGTGAACATGGGTGTCCCACACTAGTACAGGCCAAATGCCCTCTGGCCAGGCCAAATGCCCTCTGGTGTCCCACACTAGTACAGGCCAAATGCCCTCTGTGGGGCCCTGGAGGGGCACTCCCAGTTTGGTACCCTATTATAGGATCATCTCTGAGGGGCGAAGGGTTCCTGGATCCTTTGCACCAGTGGCTGCCAGCTTCCACAGCTATTGTTTATGTTTTCCTTACTGCACAGACCCTCCACCTCTTTTGCAGATGCTCTTTAGCCGGATTTCCTCTTTCTTTGGGATTTACATTCCCATGCTATCATTGTTTCCGCAGGCTTTCTGCTTTGCAGTGTCAGCAGGGAAGTATCAACCTGCCCCCGCCACCCTCCTTTCATCATCCCAGTTGCCACCTCCAACTGCAATGGAGAATTTTGGCTCTTCTGGGGTCCCTAGTCTCATCCCCTTCCTATATGGGGAGCACATACCCTTGCATGAGAGAGGCAATCAGCACAGGGCTGGTGTCTGACAATGTGGAGGCTCAACTCAGCAGATGAAGGAAGTTGCCAGCGCTGGCAGAGCTGCTGCCTGGTTTCCCACTATTGTTCCCAGTGGCAAATAAAAGGGGGGTGAACGCCCCTGCTGAGCATTGTAAGAAGGGGGTTAATGTAATCTTGATAAAATCTCATGGCCCTTCTCTGAGCAGCTCATGCCTCTTTCCTGCTCGTCTCCCTTTTGGCATATTCTCACATCTGTGGTACTCATGGCTCTGCGCACAACTCTCTGCGTGGGTAGTTTTCCTCATCCCTCAGACAAAATCATAGAATGGGTCAGGTTGGAAGGTACCACAGATCATCTGGTCCAACCTCCCTCCTCAAGCAGGACCATCCTAGTGCACATGGCACAGGATCATGTCTAGATGGTTCTTGAATATCTCCAGTGAGGGAGAGTCCACAACCTCTCTGGGCAACTTGTTCCAGGGCCTGGTCACCCTCACAGCAAAGTTCTTCCTCACATTCAGGCGGAGCTTCCTGTGCATCAGTTTTTACCCATTGTCTCTTGTCCTATTGGTTGGCACCACCAAGAAGAGCCTGGCTCCATCCTCTTGGCATGCCCCTTTAGATATTTATACACATCGATGAGGTCCCCTGTCAGTCATCTCTTCTCAAGGATGAACAGGCCTTGTCCCCTCAGCCTTTCCTTGTAAGAAAGATGCTCCACGTCCCTAGTCTTCTTAGTAGCCCCCCACTCCAGAAGCTCCATGACTCTCTTGTACTGAGGAGCCCAGAACTGGACAAAGTAAAAGACACATACTGCTCTCCCTCCTGGGCAGCTGCAAGGAAAAGGATAATGACATTTGCAGTATATGCCTTAAACAGGCATGGTGGTGAAACTTGGTGCAGAAAAAAAGGCATAGGTGCCTATGCACAAATCACAAAGGAAACGATTTTGGTTCTGGCCCTGCTTTTCATGTCAAAGTTTCACTGCAGTATGTGAGTAACAAGTGAAAAATTGCACAAGTGCAGTAAGTGGGGTCACCGGTAGGACACTTGATTTTTGGGGTACTTTTCTTGCACAACCCCCAGAATAGATCCCGGACAAGCACTGAAACCATGCCTGCTCTCATCTTTCATGTGAATGAGGAACTGAAAGTCACTTGTACCTTCGCTTTTCAGCTATATAAGGGACTGCATAAAAATGACTTGGAGTGAACCGGTTCGGACCCCACTACCAAGAAGCCCAGGGCACTGAAGGACCAACGGGGTGCTGCTGGATCCATGGCGGTGACTATCTTCTACTTAGACTGTCTCTCCCCTTCTCCCTCTCTCTCTTTCTCTCTCTTTTCCCTGTACAATTAATTTTGTAACATAAAGTTGGCATTGTTGAACTGGCATTTGGGCTCGTTTGCACCTTAATTTGGGGAGAGGACTTTAACATCAAATCATAAGATTTTAATTGACATCACAGACAGGATATACTGTTCTCTGACCCAAAGTGCTGTTTAACAGTTCCAAACTTTTACTGTTCTTCTTCCTGCCTGGTGGGCCCTGTCTCTCTCTGAAGGAGATTCACCAAACTTTTACTGTTACAAATTGTCTGCCTCTGAGGGAGACTGAAGTAAAATGGTTACCCAGGGTGACTAGTGTAAGCGTAATGTTTTACTCTCTCTCCTGGAGAAGTTTGATAGTCACCCCTCTCCCCTGGGGTCGGAATGGGCACAAACTAATTGAGGTAATGTACAGGCAATAGCTGATCACATTACTAGTTTGCCTGCCGAATGAAAAATAGGAAGAGGAAAAGGTAAGTTACTCATTAAAGGTAAGTTATTTGTGCAGTTTTGGTAGCTTGTTTATCCTGCATGCAAAATGAAATCAAAAGCTCCCCGCCACCTGAAAGAGTTGCAGATGTAGAATATATGACTTTGAAGTCAGAAAATTAGGATCCCAAAACATGGGATGGGGACATTTGGTACAATGCTGATGATTTAGAGGAAGACCTTGACCCTATCCCAGCACTAGTAAAAGTTTGACCTTTAATTAAAACTGAAACTGATGGTGAGGGGAAGGGAGAAGCCCACACTACTGTTTATACTGTTCCCTGGTCCCCCACAGAGTTAGGTAAATTGCAAGAAAAATATTCCAAGTGTCCAGGGAAATCAGAACCTGAGTATGTGTAGTGAGTTTCCCTTACAGGCAGAGACCAAATCTTGCTGAGTGAAGATGAGGCAGAAGTATTTTTAACTACTACTCCAGGTAACCATAACTACTCATTAACTGCCAGACCTCCTTATTGGGCTGGAGGCATAGACCCACAGGACAGAGGAAAGCCTACTACTGTTAAGACTACAGGATTCTCAGATCTGGCAGCCTCTGTGCAAAAGGCAGCATGTATTCAAACAATGTATGAAAGATGTCAATTAAGGCGATCCCCTATAGTAGCTCCCATTGATCTGGCCAGGTTAACTCCTCTCCTTTGTGGCCTTCCAGATAGCCTGAAAATATTTGTATCTGATGCCCAAGATCATGAAAGTTGCTGCAGCAGCAGCAAAACCACCTAGAGACCAAATTCACATACCTACTCGGTATGAATTCATCCAGGAAATAGGATGGGTTGGAGTGACCTCTGGGAAGAAAACCCCCAAGTGAGTATGTCAAATTTATACCACCACACCAAAGCCAAAAGCTAAACCACGATTTGATTATATACCCCTTACTGCAGGTGTTGACGGGTTGGTCACAAAATTAAAGCTTTCTGTGTTACCCTTGAGAAGTAAAAGATATTTCTTGAAAAGTCCATCAAATTAGTATCAGATGGATAGTGCCCTCCTTTTAACCCACTGTGCACTGGTTAGACAGAGACCAAGCAATTCTGTTCTATGGTTTTTCCAGGTTATAGGTATCCTGCATGTTAGAAATCAGACTGAAGATTCTCTTATACCAACTCCAAGTGTCCACAGGGATTGTTTGCTTTTATGTGTAGTATATTTTGGGGGTTGTATATTTTGGTGTGTGTATCTGTAAGTTTTGTTTACAAATTTAACTAAGTAATTAAGATTAACAAGTGTGGCATTTATAACCTGTGTTGGAAAGATATGCCTTGGTTTAATATGTTTATACTTAATGAAAATAAGTGATTACTGCTTGCTTGCTTTTGCCTAAATCTGTAGAAGGCCTCCTTCCAATGGGTATTCTTACAAGGACTGTGGAATACCTGGGATATCCTACAGATAGTGAATCCTTAGTCCTCAAATAAAAAACAAATTACTGTGCAGTTTAACCAGCCACTCAGTTTTCCCATCATCAGTACCAAAATGCTACTGATTTTAAAAAGTCCACTGAATAAGTATGTCTGGATAGCTGCAGATGATCACAATAAGGAACATAAAATTAATACTCAGTGGATTATCCCATCCTTTTGAACCAGTTCAAAGCTGAGCTGAGTTGTTTATTTGATCTTTTGAAGGTAAAGGCCAGGTGCCAAAAGGAGGAAGAGGGAATTCCTGCTGTAGTTTATGCCATATGTTTTGTTTTTCTATTAGTAGGAATAGTTATTATACTAGCATGTTTGTGCTGTTATGTAAATGATTATGTCCGCTGCTGAAACGGGGAAATCAACCCCAGGGGACAGAAGTGCTAATTCTATCAACCTCATATGGGAGTTTTGTGATTTGTGTGTCTTTGGAATCAAACAGACAAAGGAATAAGTGTAGCTTTCCCTACATCAGCAGAGTATGGCCCAAGATTTTTTGTAACACTCACGATCTACCAGTCAATTTAAGTGACCCCCCACTATGGAAATGATCTTATATTCTGGTACCTACCCCTTGGTGGTTAGGGAGTAAATTACCTTTGAAATGGAGGGCCCATTACCTATTAATTGAGGGAATATCTACGGTTTTTGAATGCCCCTGGTTCCCACACCAAGTGAGACTTAGTGATACATATTTTGCATACTACAATAACACAGAGGGACTTCAGAGTTGGAATATGTGTAATGCATCACATCCAGAAGCCATCTCCTCACTAAACTCTGAAGAGATTGACCTACCTGGGATGATCAGGGGAAGTCCGCTATTACCAGGGATGTCCCAAATCCCCGACTAATAGGATTCCTTGTCAATATTTCCCTTTTGATCCCATTTTTCGTCTGCTAAAACAACCGGATTATTATGAAGCGCCATATATTTAAAAGTTTTTTTTTGTGGTGTGTAGAAATACCCAGCAGGGCAGGAGTATTACCTATAGATTTTTCGATATGTGTTTTAATACATGGCATGTGTACCTGTTGGGGATACTCCTCTATGGGATTTAAAAATCAAGACCTGCTGTGTAATTCTGTGGCTAATTTCAAGACGCATTGGGCCCACATCCAACGGGTTCAGTATTCTGGAATCCCTTGCACCTACTACCTATAAAAGAACATTCTGATCCTGTCACCTCCCCAAATGTACTTGATGGACTGTAACAACACCTAGACTTGTAGGAATAGCAGCTATCCTGCACCACTTGGATTAGCTTGAGGATGTTCTGATGGAAAGTTTTAACTTGTGGTTAAGCCTAACTCAGCACACTGGTCTAAGATGTGGGATGGTACTCCTGTCCTTTTGCCCAAATCGTGTGTCTGTCATTATTTATTGGTGGGAAGGACATGATGAGAGCTGAGTTCTCCTGAACACAGCTGAGAATGGATCATTGATATACGTGCCACAGATTATTATATGGTAGGACAAAAGTTAGCTTTGGGATTTAAGATAATTTTTACACCTTATCTAGTTATCAGACAACATCAATGGGCATTAGAAAATATAATATGGCAAGTGGACAAGGTATCTTTTTTGAGGAGTTAACTTGCAAGTCCAACAAGTGTCAAAAATAGCTTTACGAAATCGGTTAGCATTATTACTTAAAAAGCAAAGTGTATGTGGAATGTTAAATTTAACAGATACTGAATGTTGTATTAGAATTTATAATGCTTCTACTTCCATTGAGGAAGCTCGAGACAAAAGGAAAGAAACAGCTGACCAAACTGCAGAATTGTTCCAATCCATGAAACCTAATGACTGGTTTGAAGGTTGGAGCCCCAACTCTTGTTTAATGTGTGTAGTCTGGTCACTGAGATCATGGTTAGTGCGAATTGGAATGATGTTGTTAATTAGATTTACTTGGTGGATAAATGATTGGAATTGCAGTTGTTCAGTGTACGATTTCTTGCATTATCCTTTCTGCTTCATCCATCTTTTCTCCCTCTGTCTGCTACGTGCACATCACCACTGTGGACAAAGACGACGATTGAAGGCAATGACTGCTGATTGATATTTAGTCACGGGGTAGTATAAGGAAAGGGTTAATGACTTTGCAGTATATGCAAAATTTGTTTCAGGAAAAAAGTCATGGGTGCCTATGCACAAACCACAGAGGAAACAAGGTTTCAGTTCTGTGTTCTCCCTGGGATGGCTGCAGGGGAGCAGGGTGATGTGAAGGTGTGTACAGGTGTGTCGTGGACACAAGAGCGTGATGGTAAAGAGACCCAATGGCAGAAAACACCATCACCAGCACCTGTTTCTGCTGGTTCCACAATCAGCCCAGGGAGATTTCACCAATGGTTTCAGTGTCCTCAACAGCAAACAAATTCCCCAAGCCTGCTGAGTTTTATGACCTGCTCATAGGAAACACTTCTGGGGAAGGAGTGCTTATCAGCACTTCTTGCTTCAGGATGTTTTGGGGAAGGGCAGAAGCTGTCTACCAGCTGGCTGTGCATCAGCAGGATGACTGCACTCAGCTGCTCTCTGCAGGACTGTGGACGGCGGCTGAGAGACTGCTGGTCTACTGAGACTTGACCTTCTCCTTCTTCTCCTTTTTCCACTTGACTTTTGGAGACTTACAAATCTGTGATACTGTCTGTTGATTTATATCGTAGCTTTTACCTGGGAAGAAGACAGCAGGGGTGATACTCCTCTGTAAGGACAACATTCCCATGTATCAGGGTTAGGGAGGATGGGGCTGTTGGACGTTATAAACATCGCTTCTCAGGCTAAAAGATTTAGGTCTTGATGAGGCTTGGATGGGGGGTTGCAGAGAGTCCCACATGTTGCTGTTGCAGTCCATCCAGCTGAGGCTGAATCTAGATCCACAAGAAGGGAAGGAGCTGGGATGCCACTATGTCACTCCTGCAAAGGACTGTTCATAGTTTGTACCATCTACAGGGCATGTGTTGGCTGCCCTCTCCTCCAAGCCCCTTTGAGCCCTTCCTCAGAGCACTGTGGGGAAGGATGGGGTAGACCATTTTGGTGTACTGGTGTGGATTTTGGGAGCTGCCCCCTGTCACAAAAGGAAGGAACTGGGATGCTTCTTTTGGCTGAGCTGTTACACACAGAAAAGGACTGAACATGGTGGTCACACCTCCATGACCAGCTGGGAAGATGCTTGCCCTGTGTGGTGTCTGAAGTAGCACCTCTAGGGGTTGTGCATAGTAGTCCTTCCACTGGGAGCCCACCAAAGAGGCTGGAAATTGGTTAAATCTCCTGAAGTCCCTAATGAGGAGTGTACATAAGGAAGCTTTTTCTTTGGATCAAAGTCTTCTGGCTTAATAGCAGCCATTGGAGCTTTGCAGAGGCAAGGGGCATGTTAATGTGTAAGCCACAAGGAAGTCTAGGGATGTTAGGTTCTCTGTGCAAAGCATTTCTGGGCTAAACTGCCTCCCTGCCTGGTTACTCTACCCTCTGAGGAAGATGTCTGTAAGGGCTGCTGCTCCTGTCCTCTGTCACCCAGCGTCCTCAAGTCAGCAAGGCTGAGTGAGGGGCCGGCATGTCACACCCACTCTCACCACTTTCATTTCTTGGGCAACACTGACTTTCCACCAAACCCTGTGTAATGCCCCTCTGCTTGAACTCTCTTTGTACCTCTGCTGTCGTGCTTTCCTTTCCTTCTGCTGAGGACAAGCCTGTTTTCATCTTCTCTCTCTCTGATGTATTTTCTCTCTTGTGGGCTTCACTCGGCCCACTCTTCCCTCACTGTGAGAGAAGCTCATGCAAGACCTCCAGCATGGAGGTGTTTTGGCCATGAGAGGAGCACCAGCTGAGAGCAGTAGATGTTCACCTGGCTGGGGCACCTTCTCCAAGCAGCACCCTCTCACTTACGGGGGCTGAGGAAGAATGGCTGAAGGAGCCTCACAGATTATTTTCCTCTGCCTTAGGATCCATTTGAAATCTTAAACCTCGATATGAAGCCTGGGAACACCCTGAAGATCAAGGGCAAAATATCTGCTGATACTTCTGGGTAAGTACAAAGAAACCACCTTGACTTACCAGGATTGAAGGTGGGCTGTAGAGGTAGGTGGTTTTCCACGGTCCCCAGATACAAAATGTGTGAGCATATCTGTGTTAGAGGAACCCCTATGCCACCACCTGCCACGCTGATGGAGGAACTGGGTGCAGAGATGTGTGTTGGATCTCAAGTCTTCCAAGACCCTCTCCTGTGCATGCTGCTGACCTTCCTCCTGTTCATCCACAGCTTCAGCATCAATCTTGGCTCCAGCTTGCAAGATTTGGCACTTCATTTCAATCCCCGCTTCAATGAGTCTGTCATTGTCTGTAACTCCAAGTGCTCCAATGTGTGGCAGAAAGAGCATCGTGACAAACACTTCTCTTTCTTCAGGGGCTGCACTGTCAAGGTGAGGAGTGTGTGCTGGGTGTTGGGGGGTGTGCCTGTGGTGGGGGGAAACCCCTGGTTAGCAGATTCCCATACCCTAGTTTTCCCAGTCCCATCCAATACTTCATGCTTCCTCACAACAGCCTGTCATCCTCTGGTTTTTGGTCCTGATTGTCATTTCCACTCCTCCTTCAAAATCCCAGTGCTGCTTCTGGGAACTTTGTATGAGCCCTGTCTGTCTCAGGCTTTGTAAGTGCTTCCTGACCCCCCTACCTGCCCATCAGGTGAGTGTACCAGGGGCATGTATGAAGTTAAAAGGAGTCTCCAAGGAGCAGGATCTTTCTGCTCTCTACCTTATTTCTCTCCCTAATTCCGTCCTGTGTAAACACAGGCTTTAAGGCAACCCAGAGTTTGGAGCAAAGTCCAAAAACCTCTCCATCAGCTCTTCTGTCCTCATTACTCCTGGATCCACGCTGCCAATCTGTCCTCTCTCTTCTCCTGCCAGGGATGCTGTCCTAGTTGCTGTCTCACCCCATCTGATGTCCCAAGTTGTTGACAGGGCTGAATTTAGGAGAAGTCCAGTTTCCATTGCTGTGGAGAGAAAGCTTGTTTCCTCAGGCATGATGGGCTCTTGGGGAGGGGTAGTGAGATGATGGCTTTGGAGAACATTCCCTTTGGTTTGCAATGATCAGTGATGCATTCTCGTCCTGTCTGCTTGTGCGTGTTTATCAGTAAAGTTCCTTTTTCCAGGTCCCAGTGAGCTGCTGAGGGCATTGGGGGGTCAGGTTTAATCTGCCCTGTTCAAAGCAGTACAGTGGCATATACATTCCATGTGTACATGTACATATACATTCCATAAAGACATGTAAAGACATACTTGGGTTTAGCTGCTCTGAGTTTACAATCTCAGTAGGTGAAACAGTCTCAGGAGAGATGTGTCCCCAGATCATAGTTTGTATACCAGCTTAGACCTTTGATATCAACTGCTCATTTCCTGAATCACCCTCAGCTCAACCCCCAGCACCTTGATTAAGGTTATAGTGAACAGGTTTGACCCTCCCAGTCAGGTCTTTTGCTTAGATGCTGACCTCTGAATACCCTCCTTGTCCTCAATTCCCTTTCCCAGTTCCTCATTGAAATGCTGACAGACAAATTCCGTGTGAAACTACCAGATGGGCATGAAGTGTGTTTCTCCAACCGGCACAGCTACCGCAAGATCAACTACGTGAACATCATGGGAGGCTTCAAGATCACCTCCTTCAAGCTGAGCTGATGGATGCCACTTCCCAGCTCTAATAAAAGACTAAGCCAGTGGAACACTGCTTGCTCCATCTGCTTTGTCTTCTCTGAGATCTTTGGGTCTGCTTCTGTGTAAGCCATTGTCAAAGCCCAAGGTTTTCCCACTAACAGAAAAAGAGTTCTTGTTGGATGGAAATAGCTCCCAGATAATGCCAAATACTTTCCTGGTCAGAAGAGGATGTGGGGTTGAATGAGTAGTAGATAAACCAAAGCAGGCTGTAGGTGGGGTTCAGGAGGAGGAGGAGGTCACTATATGATTGCTTGGGAAATGGTTGTGTAATCTCTTCACAGTGCTCCGTTTCTTCCTGCACCTGAGCTTTTGGGAGGGAGGGATAGAAGAATGGGCAGAAAAGCATGGATGTGATTGATGTGGCATTTTGCACCACAAAAGAGCAACCTAATTAAAAGTTAGGTGATGTGGGGAGGGCAGCACAGGTGTGCCTCCAGCCAGCATTCCTGCCATAGATAAGAGAGTGTCTCCTCCACTTTCGTCTTTACCTCACCTCACTTATCTGCTGGCACATTCCAGTCAGGTTACCCATTACTCTGACATTTCCACAGCAAACTCTACTCAGGGAAAGTGAGGCAGGGGAGGCAGTGAGGTTTGGACTGAAGTATGTGGCTCAACACCTCCAAGTCTGTGTCCCTTGCACAGGACTACAGGCAAGTCCTGATTATTTTATGCTTCTGCTCTAATTGAAAAGTACCTCGCCAGTCTAAAGTGAAACTGATGTGTGACAGAAAATGTCAGGGCACTGTAGGCTGGGGGGGAGGGGAACAGAGTAGAAAAGGATGTAATGGAGAGCCTGGGAAGGTGGCAGTACCCTTGCCCCTGCCCCTGCTCTCCACTTCCTTGCTGCCCAAGCTGGAGGGACTTGCTGCTGCCTGAATGAACAGGCTGAGGATGTCTGATGCCTGATGGGCTGGACAGGTGTACCTGAGCCAGCTTTGGGAATGGTACTGATCTGCTCCAGGCTGCAAATGAATTGTTGCAGAGCTGGACAGGAAGCTTTTCACCCTTCTGTGTGCTACATGGGCCCAGATGGATAGGATGTTGCTTTATGTGTGCCCCAGAGAGCGGCACAAAGTACCAGGTTTATTAATCCAGGGATCCCAGAGGAGCTGGAACATCCTGCTGAGGGTAAAGAGGACAGGATTTGGTGGCTGGGGCACCAGCAGACGTAGCAAGGAAGACGATAAGGTCACAGCAGCCAAGAGGAGGCACCAGAGAAGTTAGTATCAAAACTGTTTTAATAAGGACAATAATAAGTGCATGGCATACAGAGTGGAGGCAGAAAGGATAATTCCATGGATGTGGGTCTTTGGTCTGGAGCTTGTGTTACAGTGTGGAAAGCAGAGGGTGGAGGGGAGCTTGTCCTGAGAGCCTGGGTCCCCGCCCTGGAAGTGGGGATAAGGCTGATCCTGCTGGGTATCAGTGGCCAGAGCTGGGGACTTCTTGAAGCTGGTGCCTGCCCCAGTTTAGTGCTGCTGGCTGGTGCAAGGCAGCCCCTCAGGGAGGCTGAGGAACATGGGCTTGCCCGTAGCCTCGGTGGCCTGACTGTGAGTGGCACTTGCATGAGCAATATGTGTGCACACCGGAGCTCTTTATTCTGCTCTGAAGAGCTCCCTGCCAAAAGCAGCCAGGTCGTGGCTGAACTGCGTGGGAGCAGAGTCTTGCAGCCATGGCCCAGCATCTCCCCCCACTGCACACCCCCTCCTGTCCCAGAGAACAAGGGGGGTCCTGTGAGGGTCCCTCTGGTGACCTCAGACCCCGAGCATGCTGGCTCCACACCATGGCACAAAGGCGCTTCTGTGAGGGCCAGTTTGCACGCGGGGCAGCGTGGGGGGCAGCTCATTCCAGGGTGGCTGCGTCGCCCAGGGCCACTTGGTGAGGGACATTCCATCGTCCACACTTACCCCTGGGAAGGGGTGTACTGGGAAGAGGGGTGTGTGCATGGGGAATGGGCAGAGGGGCAAGGATGGAGACACAAAATGCCTGCCACCACCATGAGGATGGTGGCACAAACTGAGTGGCTTCAGAGGAGGAGTCTCCTTGTTCTGAGGCAGGGGAAAAGGAAGGGAGTTTCAGGATCTGAACTGCAGAATTTGGTGACCTGACAACCTGCCTCTGCTTCCAGCCAGCCAAGAAGTTTCTTCCCTCCCTGCTGAGAGGGGTTGGAGTCAGGAAAGAAGCCATCCTGAGTGATGCCCAGCAGCAGGAGGCAAGTGGAAAGACTCCTGAAATTATCTCTGTGCATGCTCTCACCTCCTGAACACTGAGCACACAGCTTTTTTGGGAGAAAGGGGAAAAGAGGAACCTTAGGTCTTTGCTTGCCCCTTGGGTCCCCAGCTGACCTCCCCTAGCAGACAGATGTGCTATACTGAAGGGTCTTGCACTAGCTGGAGCTGGGGAGATTCCCATCCCCTACGTGCCAGAGCTATTGGTGGGAATATTTCTGGGAGGGCACTCATGCCAGTGCAGGGGGAGGTTGGGGGCTTCAGTGGGAGGATGGGGTATGTCCGCAGACATGCTGGTGGGGCCAGGCCAAGGGCTGGGAGAGATGGTACTGGGGAGAATGGGATGGGGTAGGAAGGAGTTTGGGGTTTCTTTGGCACATGGGAATGTCTCTTTGGTGTCTAATGGCAGTGAGGCCAGAGAAGGGGCGTGATGCCTGGCACTGCAGTGCTCACTGGCCCTTTGCAGCAGCCTGGCCCAGACCTAGGGAGCCCCCCACGAGATAGGCTCTCCTCCTGCCCCTCTCCGGCCCACCCAGTGTCCCCAGCTTGGCAAGGTGGTCACCCACTGTGTCTGCCGGTGACATTGGCACCTGAGGGTGGGGCATGGGGAGGAGGGCAAAGACCCCAGCACCAGTGTCTCTGGTGGGGCCTGTTATGGGAGAGGTGGCCATTCACACCTTGACTTCATCATCCTCTTCCTCCTCCTCATTGGCATACTCGAAGGAACTGCTGTGCCCACCTCGGACACCAGTGTAGCTTTCCTGCCGGCTGGAGAGCTTGGTCTCCTCCTCCTCCTCTCCTTGGTTCCAGCTGGCCTCGGGAGACTGGCTCTCCTTTGTCACTTGTGACCGCCACAAGATGCTGCTGGGGCTCTCCCACAGGGTCTGTGTCCGGGCCTGCCGGGGACCCTCGCCCTTCTCTGAGCTCCGTGGGGTGCTGGTCCCACCGTAATGGCGGGCCAGGACCTGGGTCGCTCGATCAAATTCTCCCGCCTCAATGGTGCAGTCGTTCCAGTGCCCCTGCCACGGGGTCCCTCTGGGCGCTGCCCCCGGCCCCGAAGCCCACACAGAATCCGCTCCAGCACCTTCGATGGCATGTGCCTCTCCGTTGGCATGGACTGACAGACCTGGCAGTGAGCTGGCCCCTGACAGGTTGCTCTGCCTGGAGTGGTCCCAGAAGCTGGATGTTGACTTGTCCTCTTCGTGGGATGCACCCACTGCTGGAGGGACCCTGTCCTTGGTCCCCTCACCGCACAAGAGGTGTGGGCCATCCTCCCCCACCTCATTCCCATTGGTTTCAGAGAAGCTCATCACCTGGAGGAGCTCGCTCATCAGGGAGGGCCCCAGGTCCAGGCGGAAGGACAGTAGGGAGTCTGAGCGATCCAGCTCATCTTCCCCAGGAAAGGTGCTCTCTTGGGGCTTTTCCAAGCGAGGGACACGAGGGATGGTGCAAAACCCGGACTCCAACCCTGTGAAGCAGAAGGGATGGCTGGTGAGGGGAGGGGATGGCTTTGTGGGAGGAAGCCTACCTTACTTCTGCAGGGACAGGGGACACTTCTGCCACAGTGGCTCAGGTCACGCTCCCGTCAGTGGCACTGACCTCTAAAGGACAGGCCAGTGTCTCTGTGGACATTTCCAAAGCTCAGAGTACAGCACAGGGTATCCAGGTGCACTCTGGGCTTGGTAAGATGGCAGCGGGGGCTGAGCCAGATAGGTGAGACCAGGAGATGGCAGCATTGCGTCAGCTTGCCTTTCCCTCTGAACCAGGCCACCTCCCCTGGCTGCTGCAGGCCCCCCAGATCAACCCCCCCAGACCCAAGACCTTCTGCTCCAGACCTCCCTCCCTGGGGAAAACCTGAGCCACAGCCCAGTGCTGTGAGGCTGGAGAGGAGGCACATAGCTGAACCATCCTATCCTTTCCACAACCCTTTCCTAAAGGAGACCCTGGCTGGCAGGGAGGGTTGTGGGAAGGCTGGAAAAGAGTGGATGGAGTCCTGTGAGGAGCAGCACATGGAGATGTAGAGGTTGGCACTGCCAAGCAAGCGGCTAGAGCACCTGTGTGGAGGTGGGGAAGCCGTGCCATGAGTCTCCTTGACCTTGTAACCTTGGAGTGGGCATTGCTCCACTGTCCCAGCACCCTCTTAGCTTCCTCAGGGAGGCTGCTTATGGTAAAGGTGTAGGGCTGGGGCTAGATGGAGGGCACTGCCTTACAACTACTCCACACAGGCTGCCAGCTGTGTGGGGCTATGGGAGAGGGGGAGAAACAGAGAAACCATCCATGCCCCACTTTGGGGGACACCCTGGGAGGAGACCCTCCAAGGGCAGGACCAAGGACCATGGTTCAGAGCAAGGTTAGGGTTATCTGCTCACAGGGATTATCAGGACTGGGGACTCTTAAATGTTCCATCTCTCCTGAGAGCCTGAAGTCCCTCAGTGGGGAGGAAACTGAGGTATGGTGCAATGGAGAAGGGCTGCAGAGGATGCACAGTACCTGGGTGCCAGCCTCTGCCCTGCGCTTCACTCACCATAGGCCTGGTGCGTTTTGGAGAACCTGTTGGATGCGCTTTTGAAGGAGAACTTGCTGGTCAAGCCGCGTCCACCGCCACCGTCATACATCCCCTCGTTGAGCTGCGGCAGGGAGATGGCGTTTTTGATGATGGGCGAGATGGCCGGGGGGGCGGGCGATGCCCCCGCCTGGCCCCCACTGCCCCGTCTCTTCAGTGGCGTCCGGCGGACGTGCCGCAGCGTCCGGGTGAAGAAGTTGTTGGCTTT